TGACAAGCCGATAGTCAGTGGGCAGATCAGCTCAATGATAGGACCCTGGTGTCAAGGTCATGGGCCTGCATCCGCTGTTCTATCACTATATAGTCCAGCAGATGTTCTTGGTTGGACCCGGCATGCATCCATGATGTTGTGTGGATGCCCCGATGCCGGAACATTTTGTTGGCAATTATAGCCTCCCACCATTGTTATTGAGCTGATCTGGCCCATGACTTCCAATCATTCTAGCCTAGGTGCCAGCCCACTGGGCCATTTAAGTCACCCAACAGGATGACTCTATCCCAATGGGACATTTTAGCGAGCACCTGTGGCAGGAGGTTATATAAGGCATCTGACTCATTGGCCTTGCCTGCATCCCTTTCACTGATGTTTATCTTTAGTGGGGGCATAACCAACCACCACCAGTTCTTGCCTCTGGTTGATGGGGAGATGAGTCCAGAGTAGCCTGGGGATTATAGGTTCCCACACCTCACTGCCATGCTCCCATGCCCTCTTCATTTTTTTGTTCAGAAGAAGAACCACTTCCTGTTCTCTGGCAGTCTCCTGCCCCGAGTAGAAGACTGTCTACCCGTTATGATCACTGGAGCCAGAGCCAGTCCACCGGACCTCCTGAATACTGCACAAATCCAGGCTTTAACAATCCAGCTCTCGACAGAGAAGTGGCAGCGTCTTCTCCACAGTGAGCGTTCAAACATTTCACATGGCCACTTGCAGTAGCTTTTTGCCGTTTTTGGAGGACCCCAAGAGTACGGATTCAGTTTCCTGGCTCCACCAAATGGGGTTTGACAAGAAGATGTCACGGACGCCTGTCCCACCGAGTTATCTGGCACAAGCTTAGTTCGATAGTCTGCACTAGTTTAGTTGGAGTTAAATTGAAGGTGGTCACTGCGGTGGCCATAAGCACCATGAAGGGTATAACCGATTGGAACTGGCCTTCCCTCCATGGCATTGCTCACATCCACCACAGCGTTACCATTCGGCACCACCGAGGAGGTAGGGGGTTGTTTTTTCTGGCCTTTGTTTTTCTATAAGCAGGAACATACCTGCATATGTTTTATATGCAGCTCACGAATACAAGTTTTACATAAATGGTAGCGGGTACAAGTCACACCCACTATTTATACTGCACGAGTCGACATAATAATGATCATTTGGGTGAACCACAGGAAATTATTAAGTAATTTTACCTTCACTGGTTGAACCAATATTACGGATATGAAGAAGGATGAGAGGAATCGAACGAGCCAGCGGTTGGCCTTCTCTGGGCCCCACTCCATGCTGTAGAGGATCGTGAAGAAGCCAGAGCTCAGGACAGCAAGGACCACGAGACACCAGGCTACGCATCTGCAGCCACCGGGCCAAGGGCCCCTCCAGGTGCTCTTCTGGCCTGGAGGGCGCTCGCTCTCTGAGCGGCTGTTGCGGAATATGAGCACGACCACGAGGCTGACGGGCACCTCCACCAGGCTGCTGAGGAGGCTGATGAGGACGTCGGTGAGAGACAGCGGCCCCACCGTGACTCCGCCGCCCGCCTCGCTGGCTGCCTGCTTCTTGCCGAACCACATGGCGTTGGCGATCATCATGAGGAAGAGGAGCGTGACACAGCAAGAGATGCGCTGCACACGGGAAAAGTTGGTCTTGAATGGGCGGATGAAAACGGAAAACCTGCAATGGACATTTGTGTTTAAAATTGATTAACATTTCCACTGATTAAATTGGTGTAGTTTGTTAAATTGCAAAATATAGTACAGTACAAATATTTGTCTTAGTAAACCATCATACAATAGTTAATTTCTAGAGTCATTATTTTAATTGTTTGAGAAAAGGGATCTAAATTTCAAGTGAAATTCTGCTGAGCATAGGCTAAAGTTAATATGTAAATAATACATTTATACAAGGTAAAACATACATGTATATGAACATTCATTTGTCGATCCACTGTTGGTTGAGGGCCTTCCCATGCCATGCGGGACGTGGGGGTTATTCCACCATACTTCACCGCACTGATCAATGCAGAATGGTCAAGGCAGCGAGCATAGATATGGTATCAAGGAAGTACAGCACAACATCAGGTTTTGCCACACTACTGCTCACTACTGTACACCATGTAGCCTATAGCAACCTGTTATACATGGTGATCACCCATACAGACACTGATCCAGACTCTACCCGACTTATCTGAGATCTGATCTGAATAACAACTCTGGTAATGCTGACACTTCAATGATTGGCTAACCCTACATGACCAGCTAATTGTAACTCAGCTTCTAAAACGTTTGTAAAATCTTGTCTTGTGCTTCTTACTTACCAAATATGGCCTTCAGAAAAGTTTCCCTTAAGTGCGTGATGAACCATCCACTTATTGCCGAAGGAAAATCGTTCTTCTTTGACGTCAAACCTTCTACCGTACTGCCCGATGCTCATTTCATACGAGAGCATTGAATTCACACAAAACAAATATCTGCAGGGGAGAAATAAGTGACACTTGTATTTTAACGATTGACCACTGCACCCGAGTGGCTGCAATAAAATAGATCATACATGCTTCATAGATACAATTCTTATATCAACTGCAGGCCTATTGCAGATTCAAATTAGTCATAGTTTCCATGCTCAAACAAACATTGTGATGACCATTTACGTTGGTGACCCTCAGTGATAGATGCTTTACCATCTGATTATGGGGTCCCGTCTCACTATAGGATTACCACCACTGTCTTCCACACAGAGATACTCGTGTATTGGTCCAATAGGAATGATGAGCTGAGACCAACGCAAAAATTTGAATAAAAACTAACAACCTCCTGTCGATGACTTGGACATTTTGCCATTACACCTTTAGGGTGGGGAACCTATACGTAAGACAGAATTATTCAAAAACACAGAATTGGTGTATTGTGATTATAGATGGAAAACATTGCACATGTAAATCCCAATTGACTGACAATATTTACTCACACTTGGTTTTTCTCAAGATCCAGAACTGATATTTCATTGATGGTCCAGAAATCACAGGGATCACCATCATTCAGCCAGAGTTTAATGTGTGATGGCTTTCCATAGTATTTAGGAACAGAGAAAAGAAAGTTGTTTGTGCTGCCCGTTTCAAATTCCTAAAAAAATTCATGGTTAGTAAACGTATGTTCATTTCATACTTCACAACACATTGTTCTTTATTAGAGCAGCCATATTAATTGGTATTATTTTCCTAACAAAATGGATTAGTCTACATACAACACTTAATCTAATATGCATTCAAATGTTTGTTTTTTTACTTAATGCTGATTGGCAACAGTGATCACAAAGCTGAACATGATTACATGAGTACAGGTAATCAATGTTGGCTGCCCAGCCAGCTCTTTCCCTGTCCGCTTCAGTTGATCTGCTTGGGCTGGACCACGTTGGTGCCGAGCAGAATCTCCCATGTGTTCTAACCTGTCCTGTATGATAGGTCGAAATAATGAGCCTCCATCACCAGGAATGCCTCCACAGTGCGTAAAAGCAAACTAGACAAGTGCTGTTAGCGAGCACCTATGAAGGTACACGAGGGGGTGGATGGCCTTTGTCTCCCTAGTGGCAATGTTTTTACACATCGCAGTAGGTACTCAATTGAGGCTGAGTCGATCAAGGGGAGGCCCAGGACCAGTTTAGATAATCGCTGCTGGTGTTGGCAATGAGCGGAAATCGAACCCTGGTCAGGCTACACATCTGCGTACTGCAATCCTTTTTGCTGGAAAGGTGCACACCTTCGGCGTTACATCACAAGCTGTCACAGCGCCTCAACATACCTTTGTAATTTAAGGCTGTATGTACTGGAAAGTCGTGCTGAATATCAACTTGAAAACAGCAGATCGACTCGTACCTTTAACTCCGGGTGGGTGAGCTCGTGTGTCCCCGAATCAAAGTCATCAAAGTAGAGGGTGAAGCAGACACAGGAGCGCGTCCCTGCATCCTTGGTTGATGCCGTTACCACTCGCAGCACGAGTGAACGCCTGTTCTCATCGTCCGCGTCGAATAGCTGAAACATCCTATTCTGAAAGTTGAAAGGTTACATTACGTCGTGTCTATTAGATTTGTCTTGTTTTAAATTTTAAATGTCATTTTGGTTTAAAGTAACCGTTTAATGGAAAGCAGTCATCATTTACAGTCCTTTGTCAATCAACTGGTGGATGAAGGCCTCTCCATGCCATATCAGTCATGATGTTTGTTTGACTATTCTTCATTTTGCCAGTCTGTGCGGGTTGATGATGAATCGGGCGCCCAGGACTGGTTCAGATATCACTTGCCATTCATATTAGCCATGGCAAGGAATCGAGCTCAGGTCACGAGGTTTACAGCGCAGTGCGTGAACCACTGCGGCACCGCTCCATACCCATGCAGAGTCCTGCTGTGTGCACATGTACTGTACATACAATCAAGTAATGATAAAGCTCTACGTTTCGTGTTAAAATCAACCCATTGAAAGGTTCACGGACATAATTCTCCAATTATCAAAATGCAATTATCTGGACCAAATGTCCAGGATGTTGATGCAACATGTGTAGTTATATACAACAGTTTTGCTTTTTATTCCACCATCAATCTAATAGAATTTGCCATTCAAATGTCAATATTGACCACAGAAAACAATAACAAATGGTACTGGTTACCTTTTCGTTATCCTTGATGTCTGCCTTCCTTGCCCACAGCAGCATGATGAGATAGAGCAGGATGATCACAATGACAGCGGCAAACACGGCGCCGTTTGACACCAGGTCGAACTTCGTGAACACCGTCGAGAAGTCGATGGTGTTTGGGACCAACACCTCTGCCGCCACGAAGACTCGCTCGCGACCGACGTTCGTTGTGGTGCCCTTGTGACCTCCACCAACCACACAAACGGTGCTGTTCATTGTGGAGTTAGGGTGCACCTGTGCAAGGAATATCAAGGTGAAGCTATTGCAATTTTATTTACAGTAGAAATTATTGTTTCGAAGATAATGCATCATGAATTCAATGAGTTAAACGAGTGGACGACATAAAAGGCTTACGTGTTGATTGTCTCTGTTTAAGTACTGGAAAGTACGACGGTTAAAATAAGTTGGCATCTCGTGATTTGTTACACTCGCAATGTGATGACTCGTCACAATTCGTGCTCGTGATTTCATTCAATGATTATCCCGTAACCTTGTGGTGAATGCAGTGCATCTAGTGGCGGCACGGATAGTTTGGAACTACGGTATTGCATTCAGCACCAAAACAAATAGTTCACGCCTGATTCCATGGCAGTAGCATGAGCATAAAATTTTATTTTAATTGATTAATACATGCATCATTACTTGTTTCACAATAATTTAACACATAGACTATTAAATATGAAAGATACGTTGCGTTGGACGTACTTGTGCCAAACTGTAACTCCATTCACCATGGACACCATCCCACACTTTGCAGGCAGCCGTCCACAACAGTATTTTTACAGACACACCATTGAGGCTTTTATTGCTATCTAAAAAGGCCGTGAAAGAAAAAAAATCAGGCAAGCAATAAATATTCACTGCGTTTGGCAATACACTTTAATCAATCGCAATATCCATTGCGTGTTTGAAGTTACAGGTGACAAGTCTTACCTTTAGACTTTAACGTGATGTAATAAACCCCGGGCTGAGTTTCATTACTGGGGATGAAAAATGAATGTTGACGTCGTTGTCCGTCCGCGGTATTGTTTTTGCGCTCAGTGTCGTTTCTGATTGGTGATTGTTGGTCACTGCCTGCCGAGTTGTTTGATTCCCATACGAAGCGGTAGTCAAACACCAGAGGCTCAAGCTGAGGAGCCTGCTGATATCTGATGAGGAGCTCCAGCCCGCCTACCACGTCGTCGGCTTGCAAAATGTCCAACAACACTGCGGATCTGTTGCTTTTAACCGTGAACCGTTTATCCACTGAAATGTCGCCGGCAGAGGTTGCCGTAAAGTTTGTCACCTGCTCGGCAATCGCTAGGTTTTTTACCTTGACCAGTGCCGACGTGGCGTTGATGCTTCTCTTCACATCACTCACTTGCAGGCTTGCCACTGAACTGTTTATTGAGTTGTCTCTGTTCCACGCAAATGGATTCACTGCAAAGGACGACAACTTAAAAAAAACAAAGAGAGACGATTATTAGCTTAACGCAACATGCTGTTTAATCAACACACGACAATGGATTTATATCGGATGGCTGGTTTGGATAGGACGAAATTTTCATACAAAGTACTTCATTTAATGCGTTAAGAGGACTGTACAGTTCGAGTTGGCAAATTAAACGCTCAGCTCGTTAGGTTTTGTATGTATCGTCTCATTATTACTCGGCGTAATTACCATCAAGGGCTACGAGATCAGTAGATTTAGATTTTCAATAAAGCTTTGCGATACAATTAGCAATACTTGTGTTTACAAGTTACCACTGTGTTTTAAGTGTGCCATGTATAGAACGTGATCCATTTATAGAAACCCCACTAAATTACTATGATGGGGGAGTCAATACAGATAATAAATTTTCATTTAAATACTCTACATGTCTCCCACCGATCTCAATCTATATGTTAAATATGTTCACACTTCTGTTCCACTTTGTCCAACACAGCCGGTATAATTTACTGAAGTCAAAGGTATCAGTGGGGTCTCTATTCATGGATCACTGAATTTCTGTAGGTTTATATGAATATCATTTGATATGAGGGACTGTCCATAAATGACGTCACGTGATTTTGGACGATGTTTGACCCCCCCTCCCCATCGTCACACGGCGTCACAAAAGTCAGACCCTCCTTCAGATATGACGTCACAAAGCTCTGCCTCCCCCCCCCCAAAAAAAAATTAAACGTGCTTCAAATCGCTTTAAACTATTGTAATTGTAGTGCGTATTTAATGTGCTGCTGCACTCATCTTGTAGGAGAAAACATTTATTAAAAAGTCTATTTAATTAAGTAGAACGTGTTGTCTATATTTATGTAAAGTTGCGCATTTTTACGTGACGTCACATTTCTCAAACACCCCCCCCCCCCCTCGTCACACATCCTCACAAATGTCTGACCCCCCCCCAAGTGCGTGACGTCATTTATGGACGGCCCCTTAAGTGGGTTAACTTAAAGGTATTTATCAGCCAATAATCATTAATAAATGTTCCCCAAATCATTTGCATTTAGCTGATTCAGTATTTTTCTTTACAAGTACAGACAGTCCTCGGGTTGTGGAAGACCCGACTTACGGAAATCCGACCTGATGTAAATGCTCCCATAAATCATATAAAAAAATTATATATTCGGAAATGTTTGCAGTAGTTGTGTAAGCGCAAGTAGTGCAGCGCGGTGAGGTTGCGGATGAATACCGTGGAGCGAGGTGCAATGCGGGCCGCCTTACACCCCGCTCGAGATTCACGAGGATTAAGGTCAATTAATGTTTTTTTGTAACATTACGTAATTGTTTGTTTTCTATGCTCAGAACTATCTTTTTTTCCTCATGTTTTTATTGCTAGGTTTTTTTGTTCATTTTAAGCTTATTTCATGAGCTATTTACTGCATGTACTTTATTTAACACAAATATACTTCGATCGCTATGTCTCCAGCCAAGAGCGATAGGAGAAAGTCTAGGCCTAGCCTAAGGCACTGTAAACGAACATTCGGAAGTGACTGCTTTCTGTTAACAATTCACGTAAAAAAAATGTTTCGTGGTATTCACAAACAATTGGATACAGTATATGTTTCATGAGTTTAATTATGGGTAGTATTAGGGTAGATATTCGATTAAATGAAAGAATCATAGGAAGCGCAGAGCATATGTACAGCGATACGGCATAGGTAGCGATAGAAAATAGACGGCAGCGCGATACAGTACTGAGATTAAAGGGACTAGTAATCGGGTAGGGGAGGGGGTCACAACAATTTCCAGATATGGGATTTTATCGTTAATTTTGGGGGGAAATTGTTCAGTTTCGACATATGTACAATTCGGGTTACGGATCGTTGTCGGAAACCTAACCCAACTGTAACCCGGGGACTGTCTGTACACAATATGTATTGTATATTTACCTGGACATTGACATTATCCGTTTGCTTTAAAGCAATTTCTGATATATTGTTTAACAATATGGAAGCACTGCTCCCATCTGCCGTCTGCCATGATGAGCTAAGTAGTTTACTGCCAGTGACCTTCTGTGTCGCAGTGGAAACGTAGCTCGAGTCTAAGACAACTGCCCTTTCACCAGCAACGGCCTTCTTGTTCTGCAGTGTCCCCAACGCGAGTAGCGTTTGGTAAATACCATCAAATGATCTGGCCTGGGAAGCACAAAGAAGTCCGTTACAAACAACTTTTGAGATACGCTGTGCTTCATTAAATTTGCCCTGCCCATACAGATATTCAAATAATTTTGCACAGACCAGGTAATCACAATGCAAAAGTTGTACTGAATAATCCAATTATGATTACATAAAAAACAATTCAACACATCTTCTTTGGTTCTTTCGGTAAAGTCACGTAGAATGAGAATAAAATAATAAAATAAAATAACACAATAAAATTCTCACGACGTTTCGGCCACAACACAAGTCGAAATTTTAATCGAAATTCAACACATTTAAAGGGGCTGAAAAAGTATGTACATGGTGGGACAGCACCGTTTACTATAAACCCCACGACCAGAGTTCAATTCCCAGCCACTGCTAACATCAGTGGCAAGCAATTTCCGAATCCATCCAGCCCCCCATCAAACCGCACTGATTAGTGCGGTGAAGTATGACCAAACAACCCCCATCACCGACACAGCATGAGGAGCCCTGCATCCATGAATAAACTGATAAATGGCTGTACATTGTCGTTTTGAAATTAATATTTACTTAGCATTAATTTATATGTATGTATATATGTTGAACGGCGTAGCCAACTGTGCTAATTGGTGGTGCTTATCAACGTCTCATCTCTTCGCTGTTAAAAGTACACAGAATATCTTTGTACAGTTATGGTTTAAAATGAAAATCATAACTGCACTGGTCATGTGACAGAACATTACAAAGGCAAGTGAAACAATTTTCAATATGGTACTACACGTACCAGGGGAGAATCGTTCCCTGGTGTTGTTGCTGTTCCACTGAAAATGCTCTGAGCATCAAAAGCCCTCTCAAGCACAACTGCACTCACAGAGAAAGTGTCTGCAAAATGCCAAACAGACAACCATACAGTCAAATATTATGAGCAAACCGTTACATATCAATTACAATGGGAATGTATTTTGATGGGGTTTTCGTTTGTGGATATAGTTCCATTACTGTACCACGAGTTGCCTTCAACAGAGATGTTCTGTCAATGTTTCTGAGGCTGCCCACGCTTGTTAGTGCCAGGTTAGCGCGTCCCAGTAAAGCGCTCTTTATACAAATGACATAAGTTAAAATATGTCAACAGTCGCCCAACAATAGCAAATATATGCATATATATTACACGTGGATACAATATATATTAAATTCAGTTGTGTACATTTTACGCATGACATATAATATATTGCAGTTTAGGCATGAAGTCATTTAAAATAGTGTGTTTTTATGAATTTGATAAACAGCACGCACATACCTGATCATCTTGTGTAAAGTATGGTGCCATGTAGCTCAGAGCACTCGTGTATTGCAAAATCGCATGAGCGCTACCTAGGGACACATTCACCCTGGACATTGTGTGTGAGAGTTCCGCTGTCAGCTGGAAGGCACGCGTAAAAAATGGCCAATTTTAAGAATTAAAAATACAACTCATCGCTGAATTACTGTTAGTTTAATTTAACAAGTGTTTAAATATAGTGTTTGACTATTTTTCTGAGGTAAATATGCATTAGATATGAACATATTTTAAATTTAATCAAGGACTGTTATAACAGGAGACGAATTTATGAAAAGGTAAAACATTTGCCGTAGATTTAATGTCGATATCAAATGTTATTCACTCCAATACAGGTATTCCTCGATTTACGAACGTTCGGTTTACGATATTGCGTGTAAACGCAATTTACTAATTATTAGGACGTTTCTATTAATGAAATAGAATTTCTGCGCGAACGAAATTTCACTACGGCACACGCCATGAGAATAAACAAAAAGCACCAAGGAGGCTGTGGCATCCATCTACAACAGTGCCACGGTATCCCTAGAGAGCAAAGATAACACTTCTACATGACCTCGCTAGTCATTACAACATACAGATCTTTTCATAATAAAGTTTTTTGGGTTAGATCGCTTTATTTATAAATGTGTCATAACCCTCCACCACCCGACACGGCCAATCAGCAAGAAAGTGTCACGTTGACAAAAGACAAATAGTTCACTACTTTAGCCCACCGGTATGTTGAAGAGTGAATCCACAACATTTACAGTTTGAGTACGACGTTTCGCTGGTAATTACATCCAGCATCATCGGGCAATTCGCCAGAATGGTAAAGCCCTCACTTGCTCCCGGTCTTAAATAGAGCAGCAGGGTGACGTCATCATTTAACTCATTCATGTGCAGTGATTTGAGGTGGAGGGGGTGGATATTGTAATTATATAATCGATTGCTAATCAGTCAATGCTTATGAATAGTAATGAGTTGTAGATGAGTAATGTGTGTTATTGTGATTATATGCTATGTTAGTAATCCGTTAATTAGTATGTGTTTCCCCTATAAGGAATTGTAATATGGATTATTTCATAATACGCTTCTAAGCCGCACTAAGCCTGTAGCTGTCAGAGCGATTAAAGTTATTTCTATTTCTCTCAATTTCAATAGATTCTCTAATTAGTCTTTGCTAGTAATAATTCGTTTTACACAACATTTCAACGTTATCAAAATCAATTGAGTGTCCTTGTTGACAAGCATGTTCTGCCACTGCCCACAGTTGTGTTTGAGATAATTTAATATTTGCTTGGTGTTCTTTTAGTCTTATGCTGATGTTACGTCCCGTCTATCCAATATAGCATCTGCCACATAAACAATTAATCCGATATACACCTGTTGATAATTTAGGTCATTCGTCTTTAGTGCAAGATACTAATAATAGGGTTTTTCCCCTTTTTTTCTGGCAAGCAAACTGAAACCTTTTTACAAGGATTCATGTCTGCATTAACCACAATAACTGCAGTCAAAATGCAAACAAAAAACATACTATGATAATATATGCATTGTCCTGGAAACTGATTGGTCCATACGGCTTTATTTTGAGCCTCGACCCAATTGGTGCTCGACCACATGACGCCAAAAGGCCTTTCAAGGACAATGCCTATATTATCATAGTATGTTTTTGTTTGCATTTTGACTGCAGGTATTGTGGTTAATGCGGACATGAATCCTTGTAAGAAGGTTTCAGTTTTGTTGCCATAAAAAAAGGGGAAAAACCCTATTATATTTTGGTGCTGGAAAAGGAGGTCTAATGATGTAGATGCTCACCCCGAGCCCTCATTACTTTGATAGTGCATTGTCTTTGAGCTGTACGCCTTTTGGCGTCATCTGGTCGAGCACCAATTGGGTTGAGGCTCAAAAGAAAGCCGTCCCTTGGTGTGGGCCAATCAGTTTCAAGGACAATGCATATATTATCATAGTATGTTTTTTGTTTGCATTTTGACTGCAGGTATTGTGGTTAATGCAGACATGAATCCTCGTAAAAAGGTTTCAGTTTTGTTGCCAGAAAAAAAGGGGGAAAACCCTATTATTACATTTTGGTACTGGCAAAGGAGGTCTAATGATGTAGATGCTCACCCCGAGCACTCATTACTTTGATAGTGCATTGTCTTTGAGCTGCACGCCTTTTGGCATCATCTGGTCGAGCACCAATTGGGTTGAGGCTCGAAAGAAAGCCGTCCCTTTGTGTGGACCAATCAGTTTCAAGGACAATGCATATATTATCATACTATGTTTTTTGTTTGCATTTTGACTGCAGGTATTGTGGTTAATGCAGACATGAATCCTTGTAAAAAGGTTTCAGTTGTGTTGCCAGAAAAAAGGGGGAAAACCCTATTATTACATTTTGGTACTGGCAAAGGAGGTCTAATGATGCAAGATACTAGATTTTGATTTTTGTGTACTGTAGAAAATCTTACTGTAATATTTTACTTTTGCAAAACACGGGCTAATTTGTCAGTTACTCCTGAGATATATGGAATTTTAATTGTTTTAACAATCTGATCGCTTTCAGCAGTGTTGCTTTGTGATCGTGATTTGGCATTCAGTACTCTGTTAATTTGAGTATTATTGTAGCCATTCTGTCATAATGCTTCTTTAACTTGTTTGATCTCTCTCACTAGACTTTCACCATCTGACACTGTTTTAGCCCGATGTATGAGCGTCTTGATAAGAGAGGATTTCTGAGCTGGACGATGATGCAAATCTGCATTTAGATAGGCATCAGTGTGTGTTTGCTTTCTATAAACGCTGTGTGTTATTTTACCGTTTAGGCCATGTCCAAGCAAAATATCTACGAACGGGAGTGTATTATTCACCTCCATTTCCATGGTGAACTGGATGGCCGGGTTTCGTGCATTGAGATGATTTAGAAAATCATTAAGTGTATCTTTACTATGTGGCCAGACAACCAAAGTGTCATCCACATATCTAAACCAAAAAGATGGTTTTAATGTGCTCAAGGCATGTGCTCTTATTTAAAAGTTTTCCATGTACAGATTTGCTATAGCAGGAGATAAAGGAGAGCCCATTGCTGCTCCTTCCTTTTGTTTAAATAAATCCCCTCTCTATAAGTAAGTGTTATTTAAACAATGTTCAGCAAGTTTCAGAATATATTTTGGAAAACCTGTATTCTTGACTTGTGTATAAAGTAATTTAAGCGATTCGTTCACTGGAACCTTAGTGAATAGAGAAATCACATCAAAACTTACCAGAATATCATTAGGATTAAGTTAAATATCTTTAATCATATTCACAAGATGTTCTGAATTTCTTATGAATGAAAATGTCCTACCGATGTAGGGCTGGATTTGTTTAGTTATATATTTTGCTAATTTATATGTGGCAGAGCCAATTGTACTGATTATGGGTTGTAATGGGATGCTGATTTTATGAATCTTTGGTAGCCCATACAGTATAGGGGGTTTTGAGGCCCTTGGCGTAATTTGGTATTGCTCATTCTTAGGGATTAATGAATTTGCAATTATTGCAGTAGTCTTACGTTCTAAAGTATTAGTTGGATCTCGTTTTAATTTTAATGTAGGTACTTTCCTCTAATGAATTTCTAATTTTATTATCATAATCGGCTCGTGACATCACTACAAATTAAGCCAAGGGCCTCAAAACCACGTAGACTTATGGGCTACCAAAGAATCATAAAATCGGCATCTATCACGACCCATAGTCAGTACAATTGGCTCTGCCACATAAATTAGCAAAATATATAACCAAACAAATACAGCCCTACTTCGGTAGGACATTCAGAACATCTTGTGAATGTGATTAGAGATATTAAGCTTAATCCTAATGATATTCTGGTAAGTTTTGATGTGATTTCTCTATTCACTAAGGTTCCAGTGAATGAATCTCTTGAATTACTTAATACACTAGTAAATAATACAGGTTTACCAAAAGATATTCCGAAAATTGCTGAACATTGTTTAAATAACACTTACTTATGGAGAGGGGATTTCTTTAAACAAAAGGAAGGAGCAGCAATGGGCTCTCCTTTATCTCCTGCTATAGCAAATCTGTACATGGAAAACTTTTAAATAAGAGCACTTGCCTTGAGCACATTAAAACCATCTTTTTGGTTTAGATATGTCGATGACACTTTGGTTGTCTGGCCACATGGTAAAGATACACTTAATGATTTTCTAAATCATCTCAATGCACAAAACCCGGCCATCCAGTTTACCATGGAAATGGAGGTGAATAACACACTCCCGTTCCTAGATATTTTGCTTGGACATGGCCTAAATGGTAAAATAACACACAGCGTTTACAGAAAGCAAACGCACACCGATGCCTATCTGAATGCAGATTTGCATCATCATCCAGCTCAGAAATCCTCTCTTATCAAGACGCTCATACATCGGGCTAAAACAGTGTCAGATGGTGAAAGTCTAGTGAGAGAGATCAAACACGTTAAAGAAGCATTACGACAGAATGCCTACAATAATACTCAAATTAACAGAGCACTGAATGGCAAATCACGATCGCAAAGCAACACTGCTGAAAGCGATCAGATTGTTAAAACAATAAAAAATCCATATATCTCAGGAGTAACTGACAAATTAGCCCGTGTTTTGCAAAAGCAAAACATTTCAGTAAGATTTGGTACAGTACACAAAATTCAAAAACTAGTATCTTGCACTAAAGACGAATTACCTAAATTTTCAACAGGCAGTGTATATCGGATTAATTGTTTATGTGGCAGATGCTATATTGGACAGACGGGACGTAGCATCAGCATAAGACTAAAAGAACACCAAATAAATGAAATTATCTCAAACACAAGTGTCGGCAGTGGCAGAACATGCTTGTCAACAAGGACACTAAATTGATTTTGATAACGTTGAAGTAATAATAGGGTTTTTCCCCTTTTTTCTGGCAACAAATCTGACACCTTTTTTACAAGGATTCATGTCTGCATTAACCACAATACCTGAGGTCAAAATGCAAACAAAAAACATACTATGATAATTTATGCATTGTCCTTGAAACTGATTGGTCCACACCAAGGGACGACTTTCTTTTGAGCCTCGACCCAATTGGTGCTCGACCAGATGACGCCAAAAGGCGCCTTTTGGCGGCATATATTATCATAGTATGTTTTTGCTTGCATTTTGACTGCAGGTAATGTGGTTAATGCAGACATGAATCCTAGTAAAAAAGGTTTCAGTTTTGTTGTCAGAAAAAAGGGGAAAAACTCTATTTTTACATGTTGTTACTGGTAAAGGAGGTCTAATGATGTAAACGTTGAAGTGTTGTGTAAAACTAAGTATTACTGGCAAACACTAATTAGAGAATCCATTGAAATTGAGAGAAATAGAAAAAACTTTAATCGCTCTGACAGCTACAGGCTTAGTGCGGCTTGGAAGCATATTATTAAATAATCCATATTACAATTCCTTATAGGGGAAACACATACTAATTAACGGATTACTAACATAACATATAATCACAATAACACACATTACTCATCTACAACTCATTACTATTCATAAGCATTGACTAATTACCAATCGATTATATAATTACAATACCCCCCCTCCGCCTCAAATCACTGCACCTGAATGAGTTAAATGATGACGTCACCCTGCTGCTCTATTTAAGACCGGGAGCAAGTGATGGCTTCACCATTCTAACGAATTGTCCGATGATGCTGGATGTAATTACCAGCGAAACGTCGTACTCAAACTGTAAATGATGTGGATTCACTCTTCAACACACCGGTGGGCTAAAGTAGTGAACTATTTGTCTTTTGTCAACGTGACACTTTTTTACTGATTAGCCGTGTCGGGTGGTGGAGGGTTACGACACATAAATAACGCGATCTAACCCAAAAACCTTTATTATGAATAATATTGGTCGCGAAAGCCTACGTGTTTTACAGATCTTTTGGTGAGTTCCCTGAGAAGGTTAATTATTTTTGTTGTGTTAATTATTATAAATCTTTTAAAATATATGTTCTTTATTCGTATTTTTGCGTTGTGAAAAGTGATATACTGTAGGTGTATATTTGTCGGTTAGGAGCAGAGTTCGAATGACTGTCCGAAACGCATCACTCATTTTTTTAATTACATTTATGGAAAAATCCAGTCCTATTTACAAAATTTAATTTTACGTGTGGTTTTGTGAAGAAGCATCCCTTTCGTAAATTGAGGGGCACCTGCATATGCATGCATTCTGTAACAATTAATTAATTAATTGCCAAGGTTAACCACAATCATGCCTACGTTCGACTACTAATTAATTTAAGAAAGTTAAGTCTGAACAAAACAAACGTGTACACTCTTACCCTCAAGGTTAGATGTGGAATTATACTGCACGCGGCGAGTTCAAATGGAATTTCTAGTGCCACAGGTGATGAGGTCAGTGTGCAGATCAGTGGGAAAGCTCTGGAAATGAACTACACTACTGCCGGGCACACGTTTACACCGCAGCCCTGGACAACTTCACAAAGGAGATGTTCCATCCCAATTTATTTCCCAGGGGAAATATTCAAGAAAATACATATACTACATTTTATACCTTTGTACGGTACAATTACTGACAATACAAGGTCAGAATCAGTACATGCAGTGAATCGTTTTGCCAATAAACTGCTGAATGCGGATTTCGCCATCCCGTCTGAGTCATGAGAGATATTTCACCGTACTTCATCACGCTGGTCTGAAAGTTGGCTGGATTTACATTGGAGCAGAGTACCAACGTACATCAATGGATTATGCTACAGTGCCCTCTGCTGACCACCCATGCACTCTATATATTACTATATTTTTTATTTTACCAGGTAAAGCCCACCGAGCTTTCTATCACTTTTTCAGAAACGACTTGGTTACAAATGATAGCTCAACGAAGTAGCTTATCGTGTGGAAATTAATAGCAGCCAAATACTTTAAATGCATCTTTCTAAAATGTGGAGGGAAAAAACCGGAGGCCCCAGAGAAAAATCCATGCGACCACGGGGAGAACATGCAAACTCCAAATATACCGGCGTCAGGGTTGGAATCGAACCCACGAACTCCTGTAGACCAGGCGAGGTTGTTAACATCTCACCCCCATGGTGCCCCACGATGATCATAAAGAATTATGGATGTGGAGAAGCACATTCTCATATCCTCTAGAAAAATTTTCATATTTTGGTTGAGTTGAATCAACACTTACGTTTTTGTATTAAAAGTGTATAAAATGTATATTAATTTATATATACTCTTCACTACACATTTAAATTTAAATAACTTTTTTCTGACCGGGAATGGGCTGCTGATTGAAAATGATTCTGCAGTGTTGATGTGCATGTTTTCAAACGAATACCTCTTTCACATAGTGGTCTGGGGCTAAGTTTTGAAGAGATGCTGTTAAAATCTGTATCAACCCGACGACCATGACATTGCCCGTGCGTGCCATCGCTTGGATTGTCCCATTGGCTGCCAGCATTGCACGGGTATTGTCAAACAGCTGCTCTGCAGATAGATGCGTTACCTGAAAAGTAAGTCATGTTAGACCCCACCAAGCGAGCACTTTCTTTGACTGGACAATCACACATGAACAGTGAGTTGAAATGGAATTTCGAGTGCCACTGGTGATGAAAACAGTATGCACAATTATGCCCAGTGTATGTCTCAATGTGAAACGCTAGCTTCTGGGGACCGCTTCCCGAGCTTACTTATGCTCATTATCCACTGGCACTTCTGAGCCGAGCCAGCATGGGATTCTCATGGTACGGATAGTTTTCCACGGTTTTAGTTTTTCCTTCGCCAAGACTTGGGGCAAACCTGGGCTGATAATATTGTCAAGACAGTTAATTTTCAAGCAAAAGTATTTATATATATAATCTTCTTCCAACGTATGGCAAGTATGTGCAAATCACACATCCAAGTTTAAGTCTGAACCATGCGATTGCTTTTATGTCATGGTTATTAAAATGGTGGATTTAGACAGTCGTTTTGGATGGATATGGCCGTAGTTTCCACCGTTGGAAGTAGTCTTCTAATATGGAAAAGTCTGTTAGGGTGTGACTAATGGACTTAACGTCTGTTCCCTGAGTATCCATTGTTATGTTGTCCGCATAGTCAAATTTGCGGGATGATGTCTTTGGCAGGTCGCTGGTGAAGATATTAAACTGGATCCGAGCCAGTACTGATCCCTGAGGTAAGCCATCGTTGATATTTTTTGTATGGCTTGTTTTACCGGAAAGGTGTACCTGGAAGTTTTTGCTTTCACTGGAATTCAGCTTCGATGTTGCTGGTTAGGGAAAGGACCTGCTCACAGCATCTTTTGGACGGTTGAAAGCCTGCTTGTCCGATGGGCAGGTGTGGCTCAACTATGGGCTGCGATGCGTGTGAGCAGCGTGCTCTCCATCAATTAGTATACCGTCGATAGCAGTGTGATGGGCTGGTAACTTGAGGCCTGAACTTCTACAGCTTTCGGCAGGCTGACAACTTTTGCTGCCTTCTAGGCTCTGGGGATTGTGCCACTTAAATGGACAGTGGTAAGCATGGCCGCGAGCCAGTCTTGGCCGACAGGTCCCAATTACGTGAGGAATTCGGGATATACAGTAGGTTGTCGTTGCCTGTGGTTTTTTGGGCTTTAGTGGCCCATAGTGTGTGAAAGATCTCTTCCCTTGAGTACAGATGGGAGAATACGGAGCTTGTTGGAAGGCTCCTTTCAGTTGCAGTGAGATCTTTGCGCATGTCTTGTTTGTGCTGCTTATTTTTTGTGGTTTTTGTTTGCGCAAAGAGGTGAGAAGCGATTTGCCTTTTTATAGGTGGTATGCTGGTGCCAAGATGGTGAAAGAGATTCCATGCATTGTGGCTGGAGTGTGCTTTTGTCTGGCCGAATTTAGAGCCTCTGAGAGTGCTTATGCCTTTGTCTCATTGCCAGTTCTTTTGAATGCTTTTAGAAATTCATCGGTCTCCAGATTTCAGCCACATTGATCATTGCGGTGACAACATTTTGTAGTTATGTGGCACCAGATCAATGGTTTGCAGCGCAATTTCTGTTTTGCCCTGGAAGGCCAATCAGTTCGCTTTCTGGAGGTTCCAGCGATCAACTGGTTTGGATGTGATAAACGGAATTTGAAGACCGATGTGGATGACTGCTGGTCGGTGTTGGCTTCTGGGGAAAGATCCTAGGATTTTCCTTGTTGCGGAGAGTGGGAGGCCATAGTGATCTTTGGTCACAAAGCAGAGGTCTGGATTGTATCCCCGTTTACATCAAGCAGAGTGGAAACTGCCTCTCTATTTAGGGTCGAAAATCAGATAATTTATGGATGGCCAGTCAGAGAGTTGATCTCCTGCTTTGTCATTTGTGGAGTAACCTCATTGTGCGTGGTGGCTGTTAGTCACCCTATGTATAACAATGGATGAGCTGCTATAGGGATCATTGCAGTTGGTCAGGGATTCTTCGGTGGTTTGTAGATGTTGGTCACTGACACCTGGCCTATTCTGATGGTCATGGCTAATGTTTCATTGGTGATTACTTATTATGTCACCCCATGGTCTCTAAGGCCTTGCTTGATGTAAGTGGCAAGGTCGTATTTCGTATGGTTGATGGCGGAATTCGTATGGTTGATGGCGGAATTCATGTTCGCTCCAGTGCTGTCCTCCAGACAGTCTCGTCCCTTCACCTTATGAAGGCCGCTTGTGTTGTGACCGAAACGTCGTGAGAATTTTTATTGTGTTCTTTTATTTTATCAATTATTTTATTCTCATTCTACGTGACTTTACCGAAAGAACCAAAGAAGATTAATCCTTGCAGTCACGAAAGCTTTAAATCGAAAAATCATGTCATATTCATTGATTTTATAGATCGCGAGTCAGTTATCTTCGGCATGGGTTTCCGGGAAAGCAACAACGTCGATGTGTTCTTGATGTAAACACTTGGCGAGCACCTCACACTTTGCACGTTAGAGGCCTTCCACGTTTAATTGATACACTCGTAATACAGGTCCCACTCTTCTTAGGCTGATCTTTTGGCCCCTTAAAATTACTGTTTTTTGGACGGGATTTACACATCCCTGAACTCGAAACTTTCCACAATTTCCAAAAAGGCCAAAGTATTAGTCTTGTGATGAGGCACTTAACGGGTGGGCCATGAAAAGACTACCATCTCCCACCCTACACATATATAATAACTTACTAAAAGAGACTTACTTTGACTTGTATGCGGGCCGACGTGCAAGCTCTAACGGAGTTGCACACGCTCGCCCTGAGGTCCAGCGTCCCTTGGGTGTCTAGGTCTCCCACGGGCAGCAGCAGAGAGGGAGTCTGGCTCAGCCGAGAGTTATAGATCAGGAACTCGGTGTGGTTCGACACGGCCTTAAACGAATAGATGAGTTGCTGTCGGGACTCACTCTCATTCGTCCAGCCACTGCATGAGAGCTGGAAGAGTGTCACTGCTGCAAAACCTTGAACAAAACACAATAACGATGTGTTGATCTTCGAATGTCAAATCTTCACTCCACGCGCTGGGAGCTATTTCAGGACTGAGGAAGTCCCAAGCATGTGCGGTGAAACGTTAGATAGCGTGCCTGACAACACGCAGTACCACCCGAAAAAACATGAGAGGGATGTAAAGCAAAACAGCAAACACATGCGCAGTAAAAGAACCAAATTCATAATATGATGAGAGCATCCGTTATCATAGACATTGGGTGTGCAGTTGTGTAGTTTGATAGTATTATGCTAAAATGTTGCATCACATGCAATCAGAATTCTGTATATGACTTTTAGCCAATTAAAACAAAGCATCAAAGCAATTATTGTTGAATAAAATACTCTGGATATAGCATTGCATCGGCACTCGCTTGTCAAGTGTGACAAATGTGAGTCCAGGTTTAAAGATTATTTTAAAAATAAACTTAAATTCACAGATATATTCTGTGTCCCTCACTGCCCAACTATCTACCTGTGCTTACCTTTTTTACATCACACGTGTTAGAATTTCTGTACAAAATTCCGCGACGAGTTTTATTCAATAATTGAATCAGATCTGGGTGTTAAAAGTGAATTGTGGAGACTCTATAAGAGTGATTGTTTTAAAGAACGAAGAACACAAACTGCAGTACTAACCAGACAGAGGGTTGCTCATGCATGTGATGCCATTGAGAGGGCCAAGACTAGTGACAAAGCTGTAGCTGGCCTCCACGGTACCTCTACCATGGGCAGTAACACTGACTTGGATGTAAAATAGAGCCCCTTCCTTCAAGGAATTCTCAGTGATCACTAAGCCTTTGTTGTGAACACCTGAACATCGCCAACAGCAACAGAAAGCGACAAAATCAATTTAAAAAATCAATTAAGATATTATTCAAGCAGGAACAAATGCATGCAACCTTTTGAGTATGAATCATACCTCCGATTAGCATGGTTGGCTATGTACGGCGTGAAAGAAGTTCAACATACGGTACATGTATGAATTAACGTTATGCACTGCTACAAATCAAGTGTATCATAAACAGATACAAAATGTATATGCAGTGGATAAGCAGTGGACTATATAGAGGTGGAAATCTGACCACTAATCCGAATGTCACTGCATGCTAACAAGCATTACGAGTTAGTCTGAGAAAACTACATTGCGCTATAGGCCCCGTGTCGGCATAAGTAACCTCTGTAGACTGACGAGTATGATTGACTGGCGGTCTGCAGGCAACAGTTGCTGCTGCAACCAGTTCGCCTTTTGGAGGTTCCAGCGAGCAACTGGTTTGAAGTGCTCCAATAAGAAACGTAAATTTAAATATTGTGTTCGTTGCGTTAAAATATAGTTGCTTGTTTATTGTACGTTCAAATGGTTTGTTTCAGGTCTTACAGATTAGATATTATAAGCAGTTTTTAAGCAATTAAATATGAGATTAGAAGGATGGTTTTACTTTAAATACCATTTTTTAAGGGTGTACATTATAGCTATATTGTGGATTATTTGAAAAAGAAAAAGACATCTTCAAAACTAATCTCGTAAATACTTTTACCTGTGGAAGTCATGTGCTCAAAATCTGTGACAGTTTCGTTATTGGACAGTAGCTTCCATTGGTATAGTAAGTTATCATCGTCGCAGTTACCACACTCGCTTGAGAGCACAAGTGGATCCAAAGTGGTAACCTTGTCAGCGCAGGTATCTCCACAGCTGTCAGCAAATTGTTAAGGATATATCAAAACAAATTAGTCAATAATATGTTAAGCTACATATTCACTAGGTTAAACACACATATATGAGCTATGTAGCTCTTTAACAGAAGTGATCTGGCCACAAATAATAGCTCAACGAAATGTCTTATCATTTGGAAATTTATGGCAGCCACATACTCTAAACACATGTTGATTATATAATGTGGAGGGAAAAAGCGGAGCGACTTGTAGAAAAATCCATGCAAACACGGGGAGAACATCCAAACTCCAAAAATACAGGTGTCAGAGTCAGGATCAAACCCACGCCTTCCTGAATGCTAGGAGAGGTAGTTAAAATCTCACCATCGTGGCACCTTCAAGAGCATCAGTCATTCAGAAACATTTACAATATGACTAACATGCTGCCTTCGCATGCCCATATGCCCGATACCTTTAACATTAAATATAGCCAACGTCAACGTTTTTCTCCAATGACCAAATGAGCATTTGGTGGTACAGTATTCATCTCAATTGTGGCCCTCAACCACTGGTGGAAATTTTACATTTCTATGGCAGGAGCCAGTCTATCCATAGGGCCACCACAGTGATTTCACAGAAAGTGGTACACATTGTATCAACACCCAAGATGCTTGCCAAATAATGACTGCATCAGTGATGATAGCAGTTACTACATAGATGTAAAAACATGACTGCATTATTCTGCAGTGGCGTTCGAAGCAGAGGGTGAACCACAATCTATTACTATCATCCTTAACACCATCAGATAATATGCTGTATATGGTCTTTAACTTGTGTGTTAATCACCACCACCACCATCGTGAATAATACCGTGGCAAACATGTTTTCTGTTGCATATTATAACGTGAAATTGTTCTTATCAGAAAATCCAATAATGCAGCATGCAGACTGCATGTGTAGACTGACGATAGAAATAGCGGCTTACATACCTAATGTAAACATCCAGGGGATTCCCGTCCAACACAGAAATCACTTTAGTTCTGTTGGCTTCACGAGTTCCTTTAGTCGCTGTTAATTGTACCCAGACAGTGGTATTTATTGTCAGCTCGGACTGCGGTATGTATATGGAGCCAATGTCCACATTGACATATCTGCAATCTTGCACGACTTCACCGGGAAGCACTTTGCTACATTTCCACTGAAAATTAATTCCATGAGCACTACAGTCTCGATTATCTGGATCGTAAGACAGTTCAGATGCATCGATCTGCACGTCGGCTCCGTTGCCAACAGCTGATGTGTCTCCGCCAGTGATGTGTACTTCTAATGGAGTCGCATGAACAGTGATGGTTATATTGTCAGTAAAACTTTGTAAACTTATTGGCTGGATGTCGACTGTGACCCGTATTAAAAAGGTATCTTCTGTGAAATAAAAGGGCTCAAATTGTTGGTAGTTGGCATCATACCATGGGATGGTTTTAATGTTGCCAGTTTGCAGGGTCGTGATGGACCAGATGTAGTTTGTGTCTTCAAATTGGGCCAAGCATGTCATGTTCACATGAGCCATCAGGTGCATTGCCTCAGAAACTTGGAGTACACGAGTTTTATTGTTGCTTTGCATGTCATCTACGAGTGTCATTGTATATGGAATACAACCATAGGCATTGACATAAACAACCTGTTCATATGTGTTATTGCCATTGCCAGTTATTTCTTTCACCTTATATGTGTATATGCCAAATTCTGCATAGCTATACAAAAATGATATCGGGTCTGAAAAAACTGATGTTATTATTGAAAAATGTGACCCCCAATTGTAACAAAAGTCAGGACCAAAAATGAATGTTTGTCCATCCCCAAAATCCCAGATGTAGCAGGCAAAGCCAATGGAAACATTTGCTGCTTTAAAAGTAATGCCTCCTTTAGTGTTGTTGGGGTTGTATGTAAATTCAGTGGGACCAGCCTTGGTGCAGAATATCAGAATCTCCATGCGAATGGCTATATGAGTTTGCCAATTCACAGGCCTAATCCGAATGCCACTGCTGATCAAGGGCGGTCCAATTGTTGCAACCTTCGGTTCATCAGAACTAGAGAGGCCAGTGAAAAACTACAAAGGCACAAAACACAAATGTCAATACAATTAAATATTATTTTAGGAATCAGAAATGAAATTATTGCTAATAACATCTTGCGAGACCAGTATTTAAGAGCTTCATCATTTTACATTAAGTAAATGTAATAAGTAAGGTGGAACAATGCGGTCGTTTGCGGTGTGTGTTAGTCTAATTAAAATTAACAGAGTATATACGTGTAAATGAACTTACCGTGGTGTTTGTGCTAGTCCATGAGAAGGTTTCCGGGCTCATGGTGTCCATGTTGAAGGCTTTCACCCAGCTGGCGTTTAGCCCATAGAGGGTGTCGATCTCGGGCACTGATCCTTGCAAAACTAGCCCAGTCACGATGACCCTAGCCTGGAACACTACCAGTAGGTATTGCTTGTTGTTTAGCGTTGCTGGTTTCCAGTAGCCCAAGGTATTGTTCAGACGGGCCTGTTTGGCATTGAAGCTAACGTTGAATGTGGATGAGGCGGTGATGAGCTTGTCTGGTATTGTGCCTGATTGCAGTCCAATTGGACTAGTATTCTCTGAAAGGCACAGTTCGCGCACTTGGTCAATCATGAAATAGCTACTGCGCAGATAAGAATAGTACTTTGCGTGGAGAAACACATAAAATAATGTAATCAGCTAGACCATGCGTTAATTGTGTTTTGACCGACCCTCTGTGCTGCATTATATTGTTTCCAAATTTTACTAAATCTTGTTCAATTTGATGTGCTTCTCCATCCCTCTGTGTTTCCTCTGTTTGTGTCTCCGTGTATGTGTCGTCTCTCTCTCTCAAATGTCACACTTAACTTAAGTTTGTGTCTCTATGTTGTCTCTACCTGTGTTTCTGCCTTTGTGTCTATGTGTATGTGTCTTGTCTCTCTCCACAGTCCCTGTGGGCATGCTAATCTGATTTCTGTGCCTCCTTCCCCCCCCTCTCCACGCTGCAGCGGCATGTGCGGTGGCTCTTTTACTTGCTCCATGCTAATTTGTTTTCCTTTGCTCTGTCTCTGCCCCCCCTCCCTCCCCTCTATTTAAGGCTTCGACACAGAAGCATTTTTCACTGTGTCTCATGTGTGTTTCTCTCTGTGTGTCTCTGTGCTGGCTCTCTCTGCTTGGATGTCTATATATGTGTCTGTGATCTGTACTCTATCACTCTTAACCTATAATTTAGCAATCTTTGAAATAACGTAATCACCCAGACCATGCGTTAATTGTGTTTTGACCGACCCTCTGTGCTGCATTATATTGTTTCCAAATTTTACTAAATCTTGTTCAATTTGATGTGCTTCTCCATCTCTCTGTGTTTCCTCTCTCTCTTAAATTTAGCTCTTCTATACCTGATGATGATTGCTTGCGTTGCAATCGAAACGTCGTATGCTATTATGTAATTTTATTTTATTATTATTTCTTATTTCTACGTGACTTTACCGAAAAAACCAAAGAGTACATAAAATAATCTTCCTCTAGCTCTGACAACAAATCGGGTAAGAGAAGTTTCACTACAGCACTTATTTTACTTTGCTCATTTACATTACAAACAAAAGCGATAATCACTCTACAGTATGTCTCCTTCATGTATATTTTCCTTGAACGTTCAAAGGCCTACTCACCGTGAGTTGATGTGTTGTTGGTAATGCAGTAGACCGCACTGAAGCCTCTGTAAACCCTGCTTTGATCACTCGTCAATTTCACGGTCAGGGTGCCACTGTAAGACTTGAATGAATAAGCAGATGTCACGCTGATGTTGGGCGTCGTCTGGGTCTCATAAACATACACAAAATCAAAATCCACTTCCAACCTGTGAAACGAATGTAAATTTAAAAAAAAACTGCATTAAAACCCTACTGTAGCACCCCTGTGTAAATCCAATGCTGGATGAAGGCCATATCTCATGCCACGTCGATCATGGGAGTTTGACCATACTTCACCACACTGGTCAGTGTGGGTTGGTCAAGAGGGAGGGAGGGATGGGCAGTTCAGGATCGTGTAAGATATCACTAACCATTGATGTTATGGCAGCCAGATTAATAGCGCAGTGCATTAGCCACCAGTCCCTGCCTCACATTAAACATGCCTCGTAGGCCCATTGTCTCAAGTCAAATAGGAATTTTCCTGCATTTACATTTGGCTATTCACCATAATCACGTTCTCACAGACGTCTAGCATGTCACCACTCTGTCAACCTATTCGATTTATTTATAAGGGATGTTATGTTACCATGGCACATCACATGACTAGTATTGGAAGGTTGTGATTTGAAATCTGGGTTGGGGGTTGACTCAGACCTTAATTGACTCAAATCAAAAGCAAGGAGTGTAATTAACACACATTGGTAAGGGGATACAAATCTGTCTAAAAAAAACTGTTTACATTTAATTAATACAAATTATGATTAGCAAAGAGCAAAACGTCCTAAATGCATACATGTTCTGCCTGGTTTGGCATTGCAAACAACTGAGAATAATAGGTCCCTCGGTTTAAAAGGTCACATGACCTTTTCCCAGAGTTGTGCCATGGGCAATTTGGGAGCACTTAGTTCAACAGCAACTCACTATTTACAAATGTGAGAAGGCTTGTAAAAATCAACGTTTATCAGCTGATAACTTTATGTCATGTACATGTTTTACGGTTATACCATTGTAACAAAATATAATTTCTGAGTGTTTCAGACATAGGTAAATTACATTAAAAGTTGGTTGTCATGTTTGTACATGTTTTTATAGAAAGGAAATGGCTCTCCGAAGTGTGCTTGTCACTTACTGTACATCGGTTATAGTCAGGGTGATTATGGAATTGGGTGGCCCTTTAATAATCCAAGTGCCATCATAATAGAGCGGGTATGTACGTGGGTAGTTTGGGCTGGTGAAATTCCCATATGGACTTGTCAGGTTGAACACAGCAAAGACGATGCTCTCTGCAATGCAAAATAACAAACGCAAACTTACTGCATAACACCACCTAATATTTACAAACAAACCAGTGAGACATGTACTGTAGTTTCTTATGTGGGTGGCACTCCAGCAAAGCAATTGACTCTCCAATTTGTGTTTTTAGGTTCTTGGTATGATGTCCAACGTTTTGCTCCATGTGACTTCTGCTTCTTCAGAAACTGGATTTGGTTACTGAAGAAGCTCCGAGAACACAAAGCTCCCAACACAGAGCAAAAATGTCAGACATCATGAGAAACAACTAAAAACACGCCGGAGAGCTGTGCAAGACAACTGTGGAAACCTAAGCATCAGGGCCTGGTTGGGCATTTAACTGTGAATCACAGGGTGTGATCCTAGTCCTGGTTAGACATTTAACTGTGAATCACGGTGCGATCCTAGGCCTGGTTGGGCATTTAACTGTGAATCACGGTGGGACCCGAGGCCTGGTTTGACATTTAACTGTGAATGACAAGGTGTGATCTTCGGTCTGGTTGGACATGTAACTGCGAATCACAGAGTGTGATCCTCGTCCTGGTTGGACATTTAACTGTGAATCACTGTGTGATCCTAGGCCTGGTTGGACATGTAACTGCGAATCACAGAGTGTGATCCTAGTCCTGGTAATCACAAGGTGTGATCCTAGGCCTGGTTGGGCATTTAACTCTGAATCACAGGGTGTGATCCTAGGCCTGGTTGAAGGGAGCTAGCAGTGGTTTCTCTATAGAGATACTGCCCTCAGCCATGGGAATGTGTAACTGAGCACAACCTTGTGCTTGCTGGAGCATGATGACAAGTTCCTCTATGGCATTAGAATGGACAAAATATCTCAAGGTAAAAAGGGGTTTGTATTTAGCTTCAATTTTTAGCACTCATCCTTTAAATACTGTCTCTACCATTGGATTGTATAACTTCCACCACTTACTTAAGTCCTACCTATGACGAAATCACTCTTAACGTGCCTGATCTTATCAGATTACACAAGCTAAGCAGAAATTAAGCCTGGATAGAGCTTGGATAGAGCTTGGATAGGTGACCATCACCATGCTCAAAACACAGGTGCAATTGGTGGTGTGGAGAGCAATGTCCATAGTTCTGCTATGGATTTTGCATAGCAATATGGATTTTGTAGAACTATGCCAGAGCAGGAAATGCTACGGCATAAGGTAGCAACACTTTATTGATTCCTTTCGAATGGTTATCACATAATTCACTGTTATTGGTCATTGAATGAAATTTAAACCACTAAAGTTATGTCACCTCATGTGGTACTGACTAAACGAAATGTCTGGTCTGAGCTCATGGACTCAAATTTCACCAACTCGTTCAAGCCATGGTGAACTTCGGTAAAATAACCCCCACAACTTGCATGGAGTGGTGAGGCCCTTATCCAGTTGTGGATTGACAAAAGAGCAGTACATGGCAATCAATCTATCAAACTCCATGGGCAGAAAGCCCGTAGGTGTGGACTTGTCACTTGTTTCCACTTCCCTCTGTCCTGTGCCAACATGCTGAGGCTATGCAAATCTCTCTGGCACCAATTTCTTATGTCATTGAGCCATTCTCTACAGGGTATTTCTCTTCTTCCAGTTCCCTCCATTATTCCCATCATTACAGTTTTTCTTTTCCTGTTGTTCTGCATCCTGCATATGTGCCCAAATAAGCATAGTTCCTTCTCACTACCACTTGCATCAAGTCTTCTGTTATATTCAGGCTTTTGATTACTAATACATTTGTCACTTTGTGTCCAGCTAAGATGTAATATCCTCCCATAGCAGTACATTTCAGATGCCAGTATTTTGTCCCTGTACATGTACATGATGCTAAAAATAGCTCCAAAAGAGTTAAGCAAAGTATCATGTTCGCTGGAAGCTGCTACAATGTGTTCATATTATGTACATATCTTTTACTTAACTGTCATAGTAATGCTGAATGTATTTAATAACTTACCCGACAGTTGAGCGGAATTGAGGAGTATCAGTAGCGTTGCAACCACACATGTATTAACAGCCTTCAGTGCCTGCAAATTAAAATATAAAACTCAGCACTCGTTTTACAACAGTTCATGCCACAAAGTTATATTTCAGGTAATGCGTTATACGAATGCACAGCACTGCATGCACAGATATGAGAGATGAAACATTCACCATTTTGGTAATAGTTTTACACAATATTAATTGACTCGTGTAAGTATGAAAAGTAAACGAAAGCACTTCATTAAAAACAGCCCAGTGTGACCCATTGGCTGTCTCATATTCTGTGGTCACTTCTCATATCTATCTCATTTATATATGAGTAGGAATATATTAAGCAGGTTAGGTACAAAGGATTTTATTTGACACCTGAGCCGTTTACTTCATTGTGCTTAGCATGATCTTTGCTGTATAACTTGCAACTCGAGCATTTGTTTCCTTTACCGTCCATCCACGATGGTTGATTGGTATTAATCCAACACAAACACACGGGGGGAAAAGCAAACAACAGATGATACAATGAGTTATCACGCATCAATAAGAGCGGCAAAAGTGTTCGCAAACAATTATTCAAAACGTTAAGCGCTCGTTCTTAACAAACAATGGTTTATTATTTAATTTAGAACATGAGAATTGAACACTGGAATTATGAATACGTATGATTCATGCTGCATATCAAATTTTGGAGGCTGTTTAAACCTCATGTTATGTGCACAGTGCGTGTGCTATTCTCCAGTCCATATGAAAACAAGATCTTGTTACTTGAACAGTAATCACGTATGAAAAGAAAAATAAACCCTGGTTAGGGAATTGAATTTCACATCCATCACTTGCATTCAGGCTGGATATAGCAATGCACATTAAGCCTAAAAACAAGCCCTGCCTTTCCAGTTGAGTGAAAAAATACACTTTTGAATAAGTGCATAACACAGCCTCCAAGATGGACACTCAGTTCTGTTATTACGCGTGATATTGCAATAACGCGAATTGGATATAACGCAATGAATGTATTAGAGAAACCATTTTTTATAACGCGGAAGTGGATTGGATATAACGCGATTGAGTGAACAGAACTACGTCACGCGAGTAGGAATGAGCCGTTTGTGCGGCTGCCTTGGCATAGTATCGCACATGGCGAGATGCTGCTGGATGCTAGATGGTACCCATGCGCCTCAGTCTTTGTTCAGCCTGCATATGCACCTCACCTGTTACCCTACTCGTCTCAAGCAGCCATCTTATCTTGTGGTGTTGCAACATTTGTATACGTTTATTCACATTTAATAAATATTTCTTACGGTTAAAAATGTTTTAACCTAAAAAGATTTTATCATAAAAGCTGTGAAGCGAGTCACTTCACAACCTTCATTGTCTGCTCTCTTCACCATCCTCCATGGCTACGTTTTACATCGCTTAACGACTAACACTGTAATATGCAGTGTTTTACCAATTTTCATGTTTTTATTAACGTAATTAATTATATTATCAAACTAAAACACAGTAGCATACGACGTTTTGATTGCAACGCAAGCAATCATCATCAGGCATAGAAGAGCTAAATTTAAGAGAGAGAGGAAACACAGAACCGCAGATATAGATATAGACACCTAAGTAGAGGGATATATGTGTCTGCGATCTGTACTCTATCACTCTTAACCTATAATTTAGCAACCTTTGAAATAACGTAATCAGCCAGTCCATGCGTTAATTGTGCTCTGACCGACCCTCTGTGTTGCATTATATTGTTTCCAAATTTTACTAAATCTTGTTCGATTTGATGTGCTTCTCCATCTCTCTTTGTCTCCCCTACATGCTAAGGCCTCGGCACAGAGACCCTATCTCTCTGTGCTCCATACGTTGTCTCTCTTTGTGTCTCTGTGTTAACTCCCTCTAGTTAGGTGTCTGTATATATATCTGCGGTTCTGTTTCCTTTCTCTTAAATTTAGCTCTTCTATGCCTGATGATGATTGCTTGCGTTGCAATCGAAACGTCGTATGCTATTATGTAATTTATTATTTATTATTATTTCTTATTTCTACGTGACTTTACCGAAAAAAACAAAGAGTAAAACACAGTAATTATAATATAACGCGTAATAATCAACAATAATACTGTATAATAAATTATCATGAAAATGTCAGTTATGTTGGTGTTTTTTAAACCTACTACCCCTTAATTAATATTCAATCAATGGTTGTTATTATAACGCTGTTTTTCCAGAATGCGGTCTTCTTCAGAAACGCAGCTACCTCGTTATAGGAGAACTGACTGTACTTTACTTGTCTTTTTAAACTGTAGGTGATACATCACCCTGCACAGAACGTGTCAGATGGTGATAGTCTGAGAAGTTAAATTAAACATGTTAAAGAAGAACTGCAAATGAACGGTTACAATGATGCACAAATGAACAGGTCATTGAATGCCAAAACCAAATCAAATAACACCAACATTGAAACTGCCCAACTAATTAAAACGATCAAAATACCGTACATTGCGGGAGTAACTGATAAACTAGCCAGATGTTTGGAAAAACAAAACATCCGAGGCAGATTTGGCATGGTACATAAAATATGGAAATTAATATCTGGTACTAAATATGTATTACCGAAGCTATCAACAGAAGGTGTGTCCAGGATTAATTGCACTTGTGGCAAATGCTATGTTGGGCAAACAGGACGAATGATCAGCACGAGACTTAAATAACATCAAATACATTTTAAATACTCCCAAATACAACTGTCAGCAGTATCAGAACACACGTGCCAAAAAGGACACTCAATACATTTTTATCATGTTGAAGTTCTGTGCAAAACTACTGTACAAGACTAATTCGAGAATCTATCAATATTGAAAAAAAATTTTTTTTAACCGTTCGGATAGCTACCGACTTAGTGCTGTGTGGAAGCGAATAATCGAATAATACATTGTTTAAATGCATGCCTATACAGGCCACCATACTTCAATAAGGATTACCGTTAGTACGGCTATTTTAATAAACACAATGGACAGGAAGGACAAGATCGAAGGGCTCGCATAATGCGCATGCATAATGTACGCTGACTCAGTAATCCCCCCCTCATACTCAGATTGTAAATGTTGTGGCTTGGCTCTCCAACACACCCGTGTGCTGTACTAGTGACGCATTGGTCACGTTCTGTTTACGTGACATCCCTTACTAGTTGGCTGCGTCGGGTGGTTGCGGGTTTAACAACACATATATTTACGCGATCTAACTTTAAAAAATACCTCTTATGGATATTGGTCACGCAAGCCAACGTGTTAAACATCTGAAAAGTGTTTTGTTTTTCTTTGGTCATTTTGGTAACCCAGACCACTGTTAAAAGAGGCTCTATCCTGGTCTTTTGAGTTCAGACTTGGTTAAACAAAATAAACTTTAAACTTAATCACTGTTTCTCTAATGCTGTGTTGTAAACATAAAACCCCCAGATTAAGTAACATGCTGAGTGCACGTGAGATTGTTTTTGCAAAGCATCTTAAAATGGAATTGTATTAAAGCATGACACATATAAATACGATTTGTTTATTGTTGTAATTGTATGTTGCAAACTAAATGTTTTTATTTTACATTGATACTTTTTTTCTGCAGTGAGTGACTTCTTATGCATGGCAATATGTTCCGGAGTTAAATGCCAATGTCGAGGTCTGCTAGCCATGATGAGAGGGCTTCAGGAGCGAGAGTTTGTGTAGTTTTACTGTTCCTCGTCCTCCATTGAAGGAACGCAGACCACAGTGGTGTACTATACAGCCCATAGTTTGTGGTGCATGGCCACAATCGCACTGTGGTTTGTTTTTAATTTTCCATTCATGAAGTGGCATTGCTGATAAGTATGCAGTTCCAGTACCTTCATTCTTTTCAGTGACCAACCATACTTGTTGAGCTAAATTCTTAACCAAAGTTAAATAGGACATTTAAAAAATAAAATACTCCAGCGGAAAAGTGTACTCTAGTTTGTATTTTATTCAACAAATATCACCATACAGATACAAAACATATAGTAGTTATATACTACCGTAAACGGTACGTAGATACACATTATATCTCGATTATATATTTTTTTTAAACACATAGATACCAGACTACTCATTAAGATTAAAACTTGCAAACTCTCAATTGTGAATTGAGCACTGTGACATGACTCTTTCTGGTAATTACTCAACTGGCGAACGCTCAACAACTAGATCCATTACACTCCACGGCTAGATCCATTACGACAATGTGGAGACTAAGGAATGGGACAAAATATATTGTCCTATTTACTAAGTAAGTAGAGCAGGAGAAAGGCCATCAGCCTGAAGGAGAGGTATGCGAGCGTGGCGCATGCCCCTCCGCCACCAAGCGCCTCTCCCAGACGTGACATGCGCACGAGCGCAGAGGTCACGGACTGGAAGGCGTGGGCCCAGGAGCGGGCGCCATACAGGCCGTTCAGAGAGAGGCTGTAGGCGCACAGCAACAGGGCCAGCAGCAGGGCCACCATCAACAGCCGGCTCTTGACTCGTGTCTCACGGTGCAGCAGAGGCAGCGCCAGGCACCGCCTCGCTCCGCGGTGGAGTAGGGGGAGCTGAAGAGCCTTGAGGGACTCCACGAACACGAGCAGTGCCAGCGCCACCCTGAGACGCTCCTCCAGCGAGGCCAGCTTGCTAAACGTCACATTGCCATCTGGAAGATCCATCGTCATTCAAATTAACAATGGTATATGTTTACGTTATGTAGGTGTGACATAAATTGTAAGGTCTTTGACAGCACAAGTTAATGCGCCGATACAGATAATTCAAGTTCGCTGCATGTGCACGTCACAACACATAAGGCATAATGTGCATTACCCCGCTTGAGCTATAACATTTTCCATGCAGTAGTTTTACTGAATTACACAGTATTTAGATGTAATTAGTATTTAATAGGTTGTAGAAATTAAATATCATAGATTACCACCCTGTTATACTGTAGTTTTATTTTAATTCTAGTTTATTTGTCATAGCATACATTTGTTATCAAGTACATACCTTGTGTATATGTTTCAAGGGTTTCTTTGAGTGTCATTGTCTGCTGATAATACGCCACAGCAGTGGTTATCCTTAGACCAAAGCACAGAAGTTCTACTAAATGTGTCACCTTTTTAAAATAGGCACCTCTCTCTTTACAGATTTTGGGAATGTCGCACGCCAATAACAGCAGGTTAAGGACAAAAATGGAGACGTAAGCAGTCAGGTTGAGATTAAACTGCAACTCTCCGATCTCCAGGATGGAAAAGACCTGTGCGTTGACTTGTGGCTTGGCAACACCTACATGGAAATGTGTGGGTTTTAATGTTACTGCTGTATATGAATTGACAAAAAAGTGTCCATTAAAAAAAGTATATATATTCTACACATCACTTTCATTAAATAAATTAGAAACGTGTTCCTCCGCCCAAAGGAGCATTGGAAGGAGCTCAGCTCCACTGACAGCCCTGAGCCAGTAGTGGAAATTCCACAGTTCCATAGCTGGAAGCAATCTCTCAATAGAAGAACGAATGTAATATTTTCCAAATACGGTCGACAATTTTATTTTACACTGGAAGAATTATGGGCCAAGTCTACCCCCAAACGGGGTGTTTAGACCAATTTGTTCCATTTATTTATTTATTAAGCATTCTGGCTTACTCGAGTCTGATTTTGAGTGGTTTCACCAAAGATACTATTTGCTTCCAATTGCGTGAAGCAACCACCAACTTTTGCAAAGTTTGTAATTGTCAAATGAATGTACATGTTTAATAAAATTTCACACAATTGTCAATGGTGAATACAGAGGGACTCACCAGGTGACGAGAAGATCAGCAGCAGAGTTAAATGACAGAGCAGTTTTGTGTTTGCGTTGAGCACTGAGACTTCGGTGACCAATGCTGCCGTGCGTGGGTCTACCCAGGAGTTCTCTCTCAGGTAGGCCACAGTGTCGGCTGCTTTCACCGCATCATTCGCCACCTCCACCAAATAGCCGCCTCTGCCCTGGCGTTCTAAAAACATGACGTTCAGTGTTAAGTAAAATAAAGTTCAACAGAGCAGTGGTATAATGACATACTTGAGTTTGTCCCATTCCGAACCGTATTCACCAGTATTGCAATGTCAGGATAATGTGTTGATGTCGGATGTATCAATTCAATTATCATGATAATCAGGGTGCTTATACAATAAAGCTCAAACAGGTAGATTATTTAACTTTCAGTGTAATATAATTATTTCTTTATTTGTTAATTTTCACCTGCATATTCCCTCGAGATGGAACTTTTTGTTTGCAAGGGTGTTCATGTTGTCACATCGCATTTTATAAACTTTCATTATTGTATATCCAAGAATTAAATCATACCAATTTATACTAACAAGGTCGTTTAGCAAATGCATTCATGAAATTTAAGTTTAAGTTAACTTGGGTTAAGGAGCAATCCACTGGAAGTTTTTGCTAAACAAAATAAAGTAAACACACGAAGACCTTAGTGGAGGATTTCAGTTCCTCGGGGTCTCTTTCGTGAGTGATGGTAAGTGGGAGCGGGAGATCGGCTGGTGGATCGGTGCAACGTCCACAGCGATGCGGGCACTGTGCCTTTCCGTGGTAGTGAAGCAGAGGCTGAGTTCTCAAACAAAGCGCTCGGTTTAAAGGACGATCTATGTCCCCACCCTCATTTATGGTCATGAGCTTTGGGTAATGAGCGAAAGGATGAGATCGTGGGTACAAGGAGCCGAAATGAGGTTTCTCTGCAAGGTTGCCAGGCTCATTCTCCGTGATCAGGTGAGGAGTTCGGTAATCCGGGAGAACCTCTGAGTCGAGCCACTGCTCCTCCGGATCGAGAGGAGCCAGTTGAGGTGGTTCGGGCACCTGGGAAAGATGCCCTCTGGTAGATTTCCCCTGGAACTCTACCGAGCACGTCCCACTGGCCGAAGACCCCTGGGCCGGCCCAGGACACCTGGCGAGTCTATGTCGCTTGGCTGGCCTGGGAACACTTGGGAATTCCCCAAGAAGTGCTAGAGTCTCTGGCCAGGGAAAGAAAGGTCTGGAACGCCCTACTCAATATGCTGCCGCTGTGACCCTCACCAAGATAAGCAGATTGAGAAACGCATGAACGAATACCTTAGGGCAGTTACTGAAGGCAAACTGGCATCATAATGTTACATTAAAGAGAGGGAGGTTGCTCCTTTTCAATCCTCCCCACCCCTTTTGTTCTTCGTACTATATATTCGCCTCCCTAGAAAAAAACAAAAACCTACACTTCCGCTCATAGTCCCGACGTGAGTGAGGCAGGGAGCCCAATCTCCTCCCATTCCCTCAACCCAGGAGCACTGAGTTCGGGCTTTTGTCTTCGGGATTTCCGTACTACCTTCCCGTGTTATGGTTCGTTCTTTGTAATGCCGGGCTCTTGTAAACAAAAAAAGTAGGTTGGAGCACTTTTGAAAAGCTTAACGTAATCATGGAAAGCACCGTACCAGTGTGCCTAAAGAAGAAGGTGTTCGACCAATTAATAGTATCTGTGATGATAAATGGATCAAAAACACGGACATTGGCAAAGGCATTGGACACAAAAGTTGAAAAAGTGGGCAAAGAAGCTCTGAGAATTGAACGCTTGCAATTGCACCGAGCGAGGGAAAGAGGAGCACGTGAATCAAGAAAACAAATGCAGATCAGAGACATCACACTGACTGCTAAGAAAAAGTCAGCTCGACAGAAAACATCACTACAACATTGCTACAACCGATGATGACCGGTGGTCGAGACTAGGTACAGAATGGCACCCAAAGGAGTGAATGTGCCTGAGAGCACCGCCGTGAAGAGGGAGCAACGAGACGAATTGTGGCATCGAGAGATTGTGTAGAATGGAAATGGTGTGGGAAGGATACCATCCAACAGTGGGTAGACAATGGTGACTGTTATGAGATAAATTTTGATTTAAAGCTTTCGTGACTGCAGGGATTCATATTCTTGGTTCTTTCGGTAAAGTCACGTAGAAGGAAAACAATAAAATAATAAAAATATAAAACAATAAAATTCTCACGAAAACCACAGCAAAAAAATTCTCACGAAAACCACAGCAAGAAAATTTGAAAAAAGTGGCGGTTATTTTTAACGTTAGCACCACGGAGTGCGATTTGACAGTTTGTTCAGATGGACGAGTCCATTTATGTTCGGAAAAGAGGAGGGGGGAGACGAACAAATAGTGGATGCGGTCTGAAAGCCACCGTAAACGTGAACAATCAATTAAGACCCGAAATGGTTTATCAAATCTTTCCAATGATTGCTTAACCAGAATCCATCTTCTCGGTAGAAATTGTCTCTGTGTTTGTATATGTGGATAGCCTCATGAACGAATCTCTCATGGTAGCCAGATGGATTGCAAAGAACCTCTGTCTTGGAGAAGTCAATGTCATGTGAGCCTACTGAATTATAACAGTGATCTGCCACGGCCGAGGTGTTGGCTCTACCGTGTTTTAGGTCTGCTTTGTGTTCACGAATGCGGTCCGAGACATGTCGTTTGGTTTATCCAATGTAACTACGACCACAGAGGCAACTTAGTTTGTAGACACCAGGGTACTGTATGAACGGATTCACATATTTTACAGACGGAACCAGATCACGGATTTTATGTAATGTATTGAATCGGACCTGGATCTTGTGTTTATTCAAGATTTTGGAGATCTTTTTTGTGATCCCCGCAATGTAGGGTAAAGTGATGGTTTTGAAAGGCTCCTCAAGAGGGTCCTTCTTCATGGTTGGAGTGGTAGCTTTGCGGATTGTGTAGTCGGAGTAACCATTAGCCTTAAGAGCTTGGTGTACGTGCTTGAGTTCACTGGCTATGTGTTCCTGGTCGGATATGCATTGGGCTCTATGGTGCAGAATCTTGATGAGGGAATTCTTCTGGGATGGATGGTGGTGGGAATCTGGTTTCAGGTAAGCATCCGTATGGGTAGCTTTCCTGTAGACAGAGTGGCTCATTCAACCATCAGGTCTCTTTTTTAATTAGGACATCCAAAAAAGGTAGCTTGCCATATTTTTAGACTTCCATGGTAAATCTGATGACTGGGTGTATGGAATTGATGTGGTCAAAGAAATGGTCTAGAGCAAGCCGGCCATGTGGCCAGATGACAATAGTGTCATCCACGTACCTCTTCCATAAGGTTGGGCGCAGAGTGGCAGTCTGGATGGCGTCAGTCTCAAATTTCTCGATGAAAATGTTGGCTACAACCGGAGATCGGGGGAGCCCATTGGGGTGCCCTCAGTTTGTTTGTAGAAAGTTCCATTCCAAGTGAAGTATGTATTGGTAAAACAGTATCTCACCAGGGGGGGGTACCTCAGTGTTTAGTCCTTGATGAACCAAGTTTTCAATGATTGCGATGGTGTCAGGTACAGGAACTTTGGTGAATAAGGAAATTACATCAAAACTGACAAGCAGGTCGTCTGGGGACAGGGAGATACCCTTGATTGTCGATACCAGGTGAGTAGAATTTTGTACCACAGAGGTGGTTTTTCCAGTGAAAGGCCGCAGGATTTCAGACAGAAAACGAGCAGTTTGTAGGTGGGGGAGTTGATAGTAGAGACGATGGGACAAAAGGCTATCTACTTCATGTATTTTTGGTAAGCCGTATAATCTTGGTGGCATGGCAGCAGAATATTTCAACGAAAACTGGTTTGATCAATTAATGCGGTTGAATCAGAAATGATTTCGTTGGTTTGTATGACGAGGCTGTTGGTGGGATCTCTATTTATTTTTGTATAGCTGCCATCGTTGAGTAATTCTTGAATTTTGTTGTTATATTCTATTTTATCCATGATGAGAGTGGCATTGCCCTTGTCGGCTGAGAGGATAACAATGTCATCCCTCTTTTTAAATTTATATAATTCAAAACGCTCATCTTTGCTGATGTTGCTAGCTGGAATCTTAGCGTTTTTGAGGTTTGCAGCGATTTCAGATCTTGCTACGTCTGCAGCAATGTGACCCAGGCCCTTGAGAGCCACGTCTACTTGGGCAATGATATCATTAACTGGTATGTGTTTAGGTGTGACTGCAAAGTTTAGCCCTTTAGCTAAAACGGATATCAGACCATCGGAAATAGAACTGTTACTGTGATTAATTACGACTTTGTTAACGTCTAGCTTTTTGGTGTGTGGGTCCGGTCTTTTATTGGAGAGGAGGTTAAATTTGGAAATCCTTACATTTGGTCGACATAGTGGCAGCTGAAGAGGCAGTCATATTGTCTACATGTTCTAATGGTTACTCCGACTACACAATCCGCAAAGCTATCACTCCAACCATGAAGAAGGACCCTCTTGAGGAGCCTATCAAAACCATCACTTTACCCTACATTGCGGGGATCACAAAAAAGATCTCCAAAATCTTGAATAAACACAAGATCCAGGTCCGATTCAACACATTACTTAAAATCCGTGATCTGGTTCCATCTGTAAAATATGTGATTCCGGACATACAGTACCCTAGCGTCTACAAACTAAGTTGCCTCTGTGGTAGTAGTTACATTGGAGAAACCAAACGACATGTCTCGGACCACATTCGTGAACACAAAGCAGACCTAAAACATGGTAGAACCAACACCTCGGCCGTGGCAGATCACTGTTATAATTCAGTAGGCTCACATGACATTGACTTCTCCAAGACAGAGGTTCTTTGCAAGCCATCTGGCTACCATGAGAGATTCGTTCATGAGGCTATCCACATATACAAACACAGAGACAATTTCAACCGAGAAGATGGATTCTGGCTTAGCAATCATTGGAAGGATTTGATAAACCATTTCAGGTCTTAATTGATTGTTCACGCTTATGGTGGCTTTCAGACTGCATCCATTATATTTTCGTCTCCCCCCTCCTCTTTTCCGAACATAAATGGACTCGTCCATCTGGAAAAACTGTCAAATCGCACTCCGTGGTGCTAACGTTAAAAATAACCGCCACTTTTTTCAAATTTTCTTGCTGTGGTTTTCACACCTGATGATGATTGCTTGTGTTGCAGTCAACGTCGTGAGAATTTTATTGTTTCATATTTTTATTATTTTATTGTTTCCCCTCTACGTGACTTTACCGAAAGAACCAAAAATATGTTATGAAATAATCACGGTTTTGAGTGAATATGTTGGTTGTGCTTATAAATAGTGGCATTTAAAAGTGTCGTCTTACCACCATTCATTGAGATGATCTCTTCTCCCATATCCTTGAATATCCAGTATTGGTCTCTCTCGGCTCCACCCGTACTATTGGACATCACCCAGGCCTTTGAATAGTTGTTAGTGTCTTCTTCAGGTGGAGTGGACTGACCATTTTTAAACATTGTCACAAAATTCAGCTTGCTTGATCCTGACATAGAAATAGATCATCAGTTACATTTATATTCGTTTGTATATTTTGACTTGGAAAATAATCTCAGGCGTTGAACCTGCAGTGGAGATGCCCATTATCTCGTATCATTCACATGACATTTTCCAAATTTGAATGGGGCACTATTTCAAAACGTCAGTAATTTGAAGATTAACCTGTGACTGAATTCTGATATCAACAAAGTTCAATACTCCGATGCCTTACAAATTGTATTTCCATACTTTCCTATGATGACATTTTTTTGCACGTTTCCTTTTGAAAATTAGTTTTTTGTTGCAAATAATATCCAGAACATAATAATTATCATCAAACCTGAAAGTTACATGACTATCACCCACACAATTAAGTAATCCATGGAAATAAGTTATTTCAAACAAAATTCATGAAAACTAAATTTATATTTATTATTAAGATATAATAAAGCTTCATCATAAAGGTTTTTAGGTAAGATCGGGTGAATATATATAAATGTACTTATGGGATCTAACACAAAAACCTTTATTATGAATAGTGGTCGCGAAATCCTTAATGATATAATAAGCATTTTTGTTTCATAATTCTATTTTAATGTAGTAGCATTAAAACCTCATGATAGCCATTTGAGACATGTCCTTGCTATATAGAAAACCAAAGTAAACCAGACTGTTAGCATAATTATTAGTATAAATTTACCCTTGGTGTATCTCAGCTGTTGCAGACGTACAAGCCCAACAATACATAAATGAAAGCGATTCATCTCGTTTCCAGAAGCTTCCCTCGTAGTCGCGCTGCTGCTGGTTTGTTTCATGTACGGTAAGAGTGAGTTGGACACCCAGTCCCAGTAGCTTTGGGCATCGGTAACCTTAATGCACATAAAGCATGCATTCGTTCAATGTGCAACCTTCACGTGTCTACTGAATTGGTATAAAAGTTAACAAATAATTCCCACGGCTTATGTGCAGGTGGGACCTTTTTGCCAGTATCAAAGTATGAAAAAATAATAGGTTCTACCCTTTCTGGCAATAAAACAGTTTGTGTTAAGATGTTCAAACACCAAACAGAAACCTTTTGCAAGGAATCAAGTTCGCATTAACCAAATTTACTTGTGGTAAACATGCAAACAAACATGCATATATTTCAAAATATTTCTATTCGGTGTTTGAACATTTTAACAGCCGTTTTATCGCCAGAAAGGGTAAAATTTATTCTTGTTTTTTTTTCATATTGTGTACAGGTATCTATTTCCAAACGTTCGGTTCACGAAATTTTGCGTAAACGCAATTGACAAATTATAGACACTTTTCAATTAATTAATTCTAATTTCCACGTGAACGACATTTAATCACGGCACGTGCCACGAGATCATCAAACAAGTGCCACCCGGGAGACCGCATCATCCATCGGCGACAGCGTCACGGTGTCCCTGCAGTGCAACAGTAACGCCTCCACATTGCCTTTCCAGTCATTCCAACATGCAGCAGATCTTTTGGTGAGTTCCCTGAAAAGGTTAACTATTTTTGTTTTAAATTATTATTCAATTGTTTTATATTACGTTCTTTATTATTCATATTTTTGCATTGTGACAATGTATATAGGTGTACATTTTTAGGTTAGGAGTAGAGTTGAAATGACTCTCTGAAACACATGCCTCATTTTTAGTATTAAATTAATGAGAAAAGCCATTCCGATTTACTAAATTTCGTTTTACGTGTCTTTTTTAAGAACACATCCCTTTCGTAAACCGACGTATATCTAAGTGCCTGCGATATAGTTTGGAAGATTTCTGCATTTTCTTTGTGTATTCATTGTTAAAGCAAGTTTGCTGTAAGGGTAAATATATCATGGGCAAAATTAATACCTTGCCAGGAAGATCATTTACGGGTCTTGTCATTGCCATCCGACGTTCGCTGGTAAAGTTTGGATGGCTACAGTTATTTGACAGCGTACGGATGAGAGTTTGCACACCCTACAGATTCACGTGCCAGCCCACACCACATTCATGCATCTGCAAAGTCGTTCTGGCTCTGAGCCAGTTGGAAGCGGCACCAGGGATTGACTGCAAGGCATAAGCTGGTTGCACACCTACTGTGGGTCTCACACTTGGTGTCCCACAGACACGGCCACGCTCCTAGCCGCGCACCCAGCACCTGCTCACCCTGATCCTTGGTCCACCAGACCCTTTATGTACATATGTATGTTGAACTTCATTCGCACCTTATGTAGCCAACCGTGCTAATCGGAGGTGCGAGGGAGGGACAACAAACTAAACACAAAAATCAGTTCTAAAGAAATGTGTTTAACGGTGACATGTTGCTGCCATGCTGGTGGCTATTGAGGCCAGCCATCAATGGTGCTGCCAGCAGGCATACCAGGGAGCAGGGGGAGGGTGATGTGTCACCAAGAGCACATTGCTTTGCGAGGAAGGCTCAGCGCAAGTTGGTTGGGCCCCATTGCGCTTGGCTTAATGTGATGACGAACCCACCGCTCACATGTGATTGGCGAGAGAGAAATTTACAGAGGGCCGTTACGGTCTGAAGTTCATCAACTTGTTAGACTAATGTGCCCAATGAAAGAAAATTAGACTGACAGGTGTATTTACATATATTGAAAAAAAGTGTTGTGAGTGACTATGAAATGCATTTTTGTTACCTTTCCAAATTTTCCCACGATAAAGGTTTTCTCTACATTAGTTTTAAGAGACTTTGTATAATTTCCTATAATTAAGCATTCAGCTAACAGCAGCGCCACGAGATACAGAGCGCGTAAAACGTGCGTCGGTTTGAGACATGTTTGTCTTTTACTTTCGGAAGCACCTTGTCTTGGGATTGGAGAAGACTTCTCTGTTGGGAGGAAATACATTCTTTGTGACACATTCTATAATGTTCTTTAAGCAACTTCAACATTTAAATATATTCTCAGTAAAAAAATTCGTATTCCAAATGCTATTTTTTTAAAGTACTGTGTTAATATATTGCTTTGGAAGGTTGTCTATTGGTGTGTGTATATTGTGAGCATTATTTGCAACACGGCTTATATGGCTCTCTCCCATGACATGTTATAAAGATTGCAAGTCCTTGCCCTGTACATTGCTGGTCTGCAGTTTTTCTTTTCCAACGCTGTCCATTATTTCATAACTCTCCGTGTACGGTTTTAATATCTCGTCCGCTTGATATTTTTCATTCTTTTTCCACATTAAAACTCGACCCACAGCAAACACGATATTCTGCAATGCACACAATGCGTAAATTACAGTCACATAAACACGCAATAAACATTTTGCGAGCTCCAATGGACACCTCACAGTATTAAACAATGCATTTCACAGCACGGCAGTTGAAAAAGTTATTTGATGATGAAAGAAAAATCAAGTTAGTGAACAATTAATGTTTCTACCTTATTAGATGTGCTGGAAAATCTTGCCCAACGCGGCAAGATTTACCTGAGGAAGGTTTTCCGGAACATGGGGGTAATGTTTCGGCTCTATACAGTTTGACTCTGAAAGATTCTCATCTCCGTGTCGACAAAGTAGTGCCGTGAGAGTGCTGCATCCGTTGGAAGGTGGGAATCAATCGACTGTGATAACGATTTATTAATCGTGCATGTTTTTGCGTGCGTTTGTTTTTGGGTGATAATGTAACACTCAACACACACAACGACACAAGCAAATATTCCCATATTGCCGCATGCATTTAGCTGTCCACTTGTTCAGGACATTAGACAGACGCCCAGATGGCGAAACATTGACTTTCAAGTGGCAGTGCTAGGGGCGAGTGTTGGGTGTGAGTGCCGCGATGCGGGGAGAGGAATGGAGACGCGGGATTTGTGTTAAGGTGAAATTGAAAAAAGAAAGGTGGTATACACAAAAAATAGAGAGCGACTCAGCATCCTGTAGAACAATAAAAATGGCTTAAATCTTGTATAATTCGTCAAACAAAGAGGAAGTGAGTGATCATTTCGTACCAAGGAACACAACCCTATTTTCCCGATGAGTTATATTATTTGTCGAACACGGTTTTGGTCAATACTGTACAGCATTTTCCCGAAACGTAACCCCCAGGTTCAGCGAGGTCTGCCTGTACTTCCAATTCAAACTTTAACATATGTAAGGCTAATCATCCCTGAAAATGACCTTAATAGGTAAACTATAGTACAGTTGAGGGCTGTGTTTCTTGTTCGTGTTTTTGTTTTTTTTGTTTGTTTTGGTTGCACCCGATTCAAGAGCCGAATGGCTCACTGGGCTATACCAAAATAAATAAACTGAAAACTGAAACTGTACTTTGAGAAATATTTTCCTCCATTGACTTTTCCCCCCAAAAATGGGAACGGATCATCTCAAACCATCTGTACATGTCCTCAGAGCTCCTATACGAAACGTAATAAATCTTTCAGTGAGACTGGCAGATGACAGATATAAGTGGTGGAAGGTTTTAAATACCACCAGCCCTCTGAATAGAGGACATCACAACAATAAATATGCCCTCTAATAGAAACGTTTCAAGATAACACCGACCCTAACCCAGTAATGGCAGAGGAACCCCGCTGCTTTCTTCCCGAACTGTCCATGTGCTCTTCCCCCACATCCAACATTGAGCAATCATTCTGCAGATTGACCCCGATGTGCTGCTGATAGGATCGAGGCCGAAGTCCCACTTAAAATACGCATGAGCTAACTCTTGATTGCTGACCTAGAGGCGTGCATCACGAGGATACCTTGGAATTATGTAATATGTTGATGTCAATGAAAAAACTGTCTTGTAAATCATCCACAAAATATTACATAATCTCGCTTCAGAATGGGACATGTGACTTTATTCACCATTTTACCTTCATGGGTTGAATCAGTATAACCGACAAGACGAAAGTGAAGAGGAATCGAACGAGCCAGCGGTTGGCCTTCTCTGAGCCCCACTCCATGCTATAGAGGATTGTGAAGAAGCCAGAGCTCAGGACAGTCAGGACTATGAGACACCAGCCCACGAATCTGCAGCCACCGGGCCAAGGGCCCTTCCAGGAGCTCTTCTGGCCTGGGGGCCGTTCACTCTCCGAGCGGCTGTTGCGGAATATGAGCACGACCACGAGGCTGAGGGGCACCTCCACCAGGCTGCTGAGGAGGCTGATGAGGACGTCGGTGAGAGACAGCGGCCCCACCGTGACCCCGCCGCCCGCCTGATTGGCTGCCTGCTTCTTGCCGAACCACATGGCGTTGGCGATCATCATGAGGAAGAGGAGCGTGACACAGCAGGAGATGCGCTGCACGCGGGAGAAGTTGGTCTTGAATGGGCGAAAGAAAACGGAAAACCTGCAAGAACAGAAACATAAACTTCACTAAAAGAAAGCATTCCTAGATGTATTCATATAATTTAATGATCTTCCAAAGTAGTTTTAAACAAGCATGTCTTAATGTTAACTTAATAATCTTGTAAAAAAAAAACAATAAAGAAAGGCGTCTCACATATACCACTATCGTCTTCTTTGGCTTTACTCACCAGAGATGACCTTCAGAAAAGTTTCCCTTAAGTGCTTCATGGACCATCCATGAATTGTTGAATGAAAAGTGATCATTTTTAACCTGAAATATCTTTCCATAATGCCCTATGATCATTTCCGATGATTCCATTGAATTCACACAAAAGAAATGCCTGTAGAGGAACCGTGAGTGGTAAGAGCATGTTTTACATGAGAAAATAAAAGCATTTCAGGTTTGAGCCCATGAATGTTCGTTTTTACGTGGCTAGCAGGTTATAAAAGTTGCACTGCATCTCATGAAGTCATGCTCACTGGCACCGCCAGGCCATTTACCTGAATTATTTGAATCATGATTTCACATTATTTTTTTTAAATATGTCATGTCATCACAAGCAGCAGTTGTTAAAATGTATTTTTATACGAATAATTGTATTAGCTGAACTCATGCATATTTATTATCACTTAAAAAAGAAGAGAGCAGCACAACACTTGCTAAGAGCACGGCAGCACGATATTTGTTTACCTTACAATTGATACAAATGCACAATTATATTATTTTATGTAAAGCGACAAATATTGGGGAGGAGGCGTTATTTATATTGTTATTAACATTCTCTATAACGGCGCTGAATGAATATTTTTGTAACTAAGTTGTGATTCTATGTTGTACAAGTACAGAACAGGAATATGCCTTTTCCGCAGGAGCTGAAGTTATACAGCTGTACTTTATTACAGTGAGTGCAGCTGCAATGTATTTAAATTTTGCTTGAAAACCCAGGAAGTTTATGCCACGTTTTGAGAGCGTTTTGAGAGCTAACACATTTAATAATAATTTAAACTTTTAACGCGCACTCTTGAAAATAGAGAATGACTCAGAGGCGCGAGGCAGAACCACAGACGAACGGGAAGACAGCAGCCACGCTATGATCCAATGCCAACAATTACCCGAGCTCTGCGGTTCTCTATATACTAAGGTGTTATCAGCCCATTAATGAGTGTTTACACGTGGGAGGAAACCGGAGCATCCGGAGAAAACCCACGCATGCGAGGCGGAAACACTCTGTCCCATACAGATGTTTAACTTACGCTCATGTATGAAAGGATAAAGATAAAAGTGTGGTTGGAGTCTGAAAATTAATCAATATTTTGATCATGCCTCGTGTGAAAACATAATAACAGGTAACGCATTGATGCGTAAATTTTGTTAATTTAATAAGTTAATTTGATTACATTTTCAGCGTACTACTATACAAAATACCGCATGGTGTCTTTCAGTTAGTGTAATTATACAATCTGTGGTGTTGCACTATACTTACACTTGCTGCTTTTCTAGGTCCAGTACCGATATTTCACTGACAAACAAACAGTCAAAGGAATCTGCATCTTTGAGCCACAGTTTAACATCCAGTGGGTATCCATAGTTTTTTGGCACAGAGAAGAGGAAGTTGTATATGCTGTCTCTTTTAAACTCCTGTTAACAAGATGGTGCATAATTGTCATGTTCATGAAAATGTAAGATTTCCCCCGAGGCAAGGGTGGTTGATCATATTCTGTCAAAAAAGTGTTTGAATACATGCGTCCATCTTTGGGTTAGATCGCATAAATATAATGTGTCGTTAAACCCGCGACAGCCAATTCATTACTAGTTCAGCACACTGGTGTGTTGGAGAGTAAACCCACAACAATTACAAGTAAAACGTTTCTCCGGCAATTACAACCAGCATCATCAAGCGACAGCCAGAGTTTTGGAGTGTTTTATGGCACAAAATACCCAGCCAGGTGCTTGGTTTTGGTGGGGCTGATGGTGTGGCCCCACCTCTTAGTGGCACGCTGCACTGAGCAGCAATCACCAGATCAATAGGGAGCCATCCCTTGACCGCATCCAGGCATCGATCAACCTCCCATTGTATCTGTACCAGACAGAGATTGCTCCAGCACAGCCATGGAAGACTTCTCGAACTACGTGGTCAAAGACGATGTTAATTAATGTGGGAGCCAGAGGACATCCCTGTCGCACCCCAAGATGAACAGGGAATAGCTTTATCAGGGCCTGCCCACCAACACGAAGGTCCATAATGATTGTGAGCAGAGAGTCAGGGACTCCAAAAGCACAAAGAACAACCCATAGCACAGGCCTATTGAAAGTATCATAGACATTGACCAGGTTAATAAAGCAGAGATGTAAGTCCTGTTGGAATTCCCTACACCTCTGGTGTAGCAATCGGACAAAATATGGCATCTGTGCAGGACAGCCCTGACCTGAAAACAACTGGGGCTCTGCAAGACTCGCAGCGTTCCTGGCAAGGCGATGTTGAATAATTCTTGCCAGGACCTTTCCCGGCACACTGAGGGAGATTCCCCTGTAGTTGTTACAGTCTGTGGTCACCCTTCTTAAAGACAGTGACCACCAGGGCATCCTTCAAACCCGTCCAGTGGTCCAGACTGTTATTATGATGTAATTTAAGGCAGTCTGCACACAAACGCCACCCTCTCCTCAGCATTTTGCTTGGGAGATCATCTTTGCCCTTGTGCTTTTCCTGTACTCAAACTTTGGATCACCTTCCGTACTTCTTCAACAGATGGCACTTCAGCCAGCCACTGATGGGGGTGACTACTTCTTCCAATATGTGATGCACTACAGCCTCAGCAGGGTCATCCCCACTTTGCCCCATAATGTTTTCCAGGCTCAGGGATTTCCCTTCCCCCAAGACCTCACAGAAATGCTCAGCAAATATGCAAACCTGTTCCTGGGGGTCGGAGATTGAATCACATTTCTTTCTCCTACGGATGGTGATAGGTGTGGTACTGCAAGTAACTTTTTTGATGGAGTTAAAGAGTGCTTTGTGATCACGGGCTTCTGAGGCAGACTGCATTTCCTCAGTAACCCGCGACCACCACTCTTCCTTGCAGCGCCGCACAGCTCTCCGAACCACCGAGCGAAGGCCTCCTTATTCTCCAACGTGGAATGTTATAGATGGTGGGAGTTTGCCTGTCGCTTTTTCTGAACCACCCGGAACACCTCCTTCATCAGCCAGGGTCTCTGGGGAGGTTTGGACCGTGTACCCAAAGTAGCCATTGCAGCTGCATGAGCGACAGTTATAAACCTCGCCCATTTCCCCTCGGCATCAGGAGGAGGGTGGGACGATGTCAAACCCAGCTGCAAGCAATGATGAAATTCTTGCTTGCAACTTTCATCAGCTAGCTAAGGCCACGCCACTGTGGGTTTGAATGGGGTCCTAGATGGACACCCACCACTGAGGTGTAAGAATGGCAGGCGCATCTTACAGATGACAATCCGATGGCCAGTGGGCAGATCAGCTCCACTGTAGGTCATCGTGTCAAAGACATGGGCCCGCATCTACTGTTCTGTCACTATATAGTCCATCAGATGTTCTTGCTTGGACCCAGCGTGCATGCATGATGTTGGAGGATGCGCCAATGCTGGAACAGCGTGTTGATAATTACAAGCCCATGGGCTGCACAGTAGTCTAGCAGCCTCCTACCGTTGTTACTGCGCTGACCTGGCCCATGCTTTGTAATCACTCCAGCCCAGGTGCCAGCATCATTACCCACTTGGGCATTAAAGTCATCCAATAGGATGACTCTATCCCGAGGAGCCACTTTAGCTAGCACCTGTGACAGTAGGTTGTAAAAGGCATCTGACTCATTGGCCTTACCTGCATCCCTCCACTGATGTTCATCTTCGGTGGAGGCACAAGCAACCACCACCACTCCTCGCCTTTGGTTACTGGGGAGGTGAGCCCACAGTAGCCTGGGGCTTACAGCTTACCGCACCTCACCGCCACGTTATCACGCCCCCGTCATTGTTTTCTTCAGAAGAAAAGCCACTCCCTGTTGTTTGGTAGTCTCCTGCCCCGAGTAGAGGACTGTCCACCCCTCATGGTGACTGGAGCTAGAGCCAGTCCACCAGTCCTCCTGAATACCGCACAGATCCAGGCGGTACCGGTCCAGCTCCCAACAGAGAAATGGCAGCCTCCCCTCAACAGTGAGCATTCGAACATTCCAAATGGCCACTCGAAGTGGCTTTTTGCCGTTTCTGGAGAAACCCCGATCATAAGGATTCAATCTCGTCACTCTACCAAATGGGGTTTGGCCTGATGACGTCATAGATTCCTGCCCCCCCGGGGCCTCCGGCACAAGCTTAGATTTTTTTCTACGTCATTTAGTGGTAGTTAAATTGAAGGTGGAGGGGTTACCAGCCCCTTAAACCCATCCAGAGCCCCTATTTGGCTGCTGTTGTGGCTCCAAACGCTATGAGGTGTATAGCCAATTGGAATTGGCCTTCCCTCCATGGCATTGCTAACATCCAAAACAGCGTTATCATCCGGCACCACATTTACAACTTTAAAGGTTATACTTCATAATTCAGTTGCTATTAATCTAGAATGTTAACATCAACAAATATCAGCCCACTTTTATATGTAATCTTTATATCTGATGGATAATGTAGAATATGAACATCGAACATTTTTATTGTGCTCTAGTAGTGCCAGGCTTGAAGGTCATTTGAGCCCATGGTTGGCTACAAACTCCCAAACAGGTAGAAACGAGCTGGCAGTCCCCTCCCTCCTGCCATGTCCACTTACAGCCACGACCACTGAACCACTAGCACCACCGCCCCTCACAGCGAATGGCCGCAACCTTTCTGATGGTGGCCCAGCCGACAGCTTGTAGGCCCCACTTTTTCCCCCTATAATTTGTCAAGCATGAGGCCAGAAAATTCTCAACCAGTACAAAATCCCAATGTTTGTAAATTATTCACCAGGACAGCCTTTCCCTAATCGGGACTATGCAGGCCAACACAGGACAATTTGCAGCTTTTTTCTACACTGGCCACTCAGTGATCCAAAGCCGTAGCCATGGAGTCAACATTGGGGGGGACCAAATCTTCCAGGGGGTCTAGGGGTCCCCCCCCCCCAGAAAAAAATATATCTAAATTTGAAAACTAATTTCCTGCCTAAAATATAAAAAAATTCACTAACACATGGGATGGACTTTATATTTATTTTTTACAATAATGTCTAATAGTGTATTGTATTACAGTGCTCTGTTTTTTTTTGTTCTTTTTGACCTTTTCTTGTTTCATTGTATGTAATGGCAGATATTAGGGATTAATCAAGTACAACCATAACCACAATCATATAAATAGAAATCTATGCATTGTTATATGAAGGCAAGTCCAGATAGTGGCCAAGGTTTAGTAAATTGTTATTTTTATTTACATAGCATAGTATTTTTTGGTATATATTGTTGATAGCAATATATTGGGGGGGGGGGGGGAATTTTTAGCATATTTTAATATTGGGGGGGATGTGTGTCCCCCCCCCCCAATATATTATAATTACGGCCTTGCAGTGATCCAAACACAGGGTTAGACCTTACCTTTATCTCTGGGTGAGCGAGCTCTCGTATCCCCGTGTCGAACTCTCTAAAGTAGAGGGTGAAGCAGACCCGACAGCGCGTGCCCGCATCCTGTCGTTTCGCTGTGGCCACTCGTAGCACGAGCAAGCACTGGTTCTCATCGTCCACGTCGAACAGAAAGAACATCCTGTTCTGCGAAATTAATATATCACATTACGCAACAAGATGCAAAAACAGAAGCAATAAATTAAGTTATTAAACTATTTTACGTGTCAGTGGGTTCGAACCCAACCCTGATGCCTGTATATTTAGAGTGTGCATGTCTTTCTCCACATGGTCGCTTGGATTTTTATCAGGGTCCTCCAGTTTTTCCTTCCACATTTAGTAGCATGCGTTTAGAGTATTTGACGGTTTCAATTTCCATGTGATAAGCCACTTCATTGAGCAATCATTTTTGACCAGGTCGCTTGTAAAAAAGTGCTTTACAAGTACTCCTTTACTTACGAACATTCGACTTACGAAATGGCCATATGTCCAGATGCATGTTCAGACCGAGAGTCGTAAGTTCGGTATCATTACCCAGCATTCCCAGCATTTATGCTTCCCAGCATTTATGCTGGGAATGCTGGGTATGGATCCAAACACTGAAAGGTTTACGAAGGTGTCGGCAGCTGTTCATGATGCTATTGCCTATTACAAATGTAATTATGAAGAGAAGAAGAGAGCAACTGTGCAGACATTTCTTCTTCAGTTTTTCAAGAGAGTAGAGAGGAAACACAAGCACCAAAGGGAATTAACATCTCCATCTGCAGAACATGAAGAACAAGTGGCATCTACAGATTATACAACTTTTAAAGCCATTCCCGTGTTTAGTGTACATGCCGTACAACATGTTTGGAATCAACAGGAGTAAAGTTGGACTTACGAACAAATTGACTTTCAAACAGACCTCTGGAACCTAACTCGTTCGTAAGTAAAGGAGTCTCTGTATAGCTCAGTGGGCCTTACCTTTATATTTACGTGATCTAACCCAAAAACCTCTATGATGGAAGCTAAAAGTAGTTTATTTTAGTTTATGCATACATAACAAATAAAACAAGGCTACAATGATACCATGCCAGTTACCTTTTCGTTGTCCTTGATGTCTGCCTTCCGTGCCCACAGCAGCATGATGAGATAGAGCAGGATGATCACAATGACAGCGGCAAACACGGCGCCGTTTGACACCAGGTCGAACTTCGTGAACACCGTCGAGAAGTTGATGGTGTTTGGTGCTAACACCTCTGCCGCCACAAAGACTCGCTCGCGACCGGCGTTCGTTGTGGTGGCCTTGTGACCTCCACCAACCACACAAACGGTGCTGTTCATTGTGGAGTTAGGGTGCACCTGTGTAAGGCATATCAAGGTGAAGCCATTACAAATTAATTTACAACAAAAATTATTGTTTCAATGTGAATTAATCATTAATTCAATACATTCAACTAGCTGATGACAGGAAAAGGATTACGTGTAGATTTTGTTGGAAACAGATCAAATAAGTCGGCATCTCGTGATTTGTTACACTCGCAATGTGCTGACTCATCACAATTCTTGGTCGTGATTTGATTCAACGATACTCTTTTAACCTTGTGGTGAATGCAGTCCGTTCGTTTTCGTGGTGCTTTGTATCACACAGACTGTTTCATTTACGGTGGCGCTAGGATGCACCTTTTCCATTATTCAAAAACATGAATAAGTACACGTTTTGGCATTTTTTAAATATTTATTATGGCTTTAATATTGATTACCAAGTTATTTACCATGTGCAGTATAAATGACACAAAGCGGCTGTCAAATTTTATTTACAATAGTTTGACACTTTTAGATAAAGTGGAAGTTTTTTGGCTATGTCATTTATTGATTTCAGCTCATTAGTTTGCCTTTGAAATTCAGGTATGGTCCCACAAAATCCACTGGTTTACTTCTTTTTTTACTGTACTTTAAAGTTGCTGAAGAATTTTGATTAAAGCTTTCGTGACTGCGGGAATTCATATTCTTGGTTCTTTCGGTAAAAGGGAAACAATAAAATAAAAATAGAATATATATAAAACAATACAATTCTCACGACGTTTCGACTGCAACACAAGCAATCATCATCAGGTGTGAAAACCACGGCAAGAAAATTTGAAAAAAGTGGCGGTTTTTTTTTACGTTAGCACCACGGAGAGCGATTTGACAGTTTGTTCAGATGGACGAGTCCATCTATGTTCGGAAAAGAGGAGGGGGGAGACGAAAAATAATGGATGCGGTCTGAAAGCCACCTTAAGCGTGATCAATCAATTAAGACCCGAAATGGTTTATCAAATCCTTCCAATGATTGCTAAGCCAGAATCCATCTTCTCGGTTGAAATTGTCTCTGTGTTTGTGTATGTGGATAGCCTCATCAACGAATCTCTCATGGTAGTCAGATAGATGGCTTGCAAATAACCTCTGTCTTGGAGAAACCAATGTTATGTGAGCCTACTGAATTATAACAGTAATCTGCCACGGCCGAGGTGTTGGTCCTACCGTGTTTCAGCTCTGCTTTGTGTTCACGAATGCAGTCCGAGACATGTCGTTTGGTTTCTCCAATGTAACTACTACCACAGAGGCAACTTAGTTTGTAGACGCCAGGGTACTGTATGTCCGGAATCACATCTTTTACAGACGGAACCAGAATGTCTAATAATTCGCATCCATTTTTTTCGTCTCCCCCCTCCTCTTTTCCGAACATAGATGTACTCGTCCATCTGAACAAACTGTCAAATCGCTCTCCGTGGTGCTAACGTTAAAAAAACGCCACTTTTTAAAAAAATTATTGCTGTGGGTTTCACACCTGATGATGATTGCTTGTGTTGCAGTCGACACGTGGTGAGAATTTTATTGTTTTATATATATTTTTTTATTTTATTGTTTCCCTTCTACGTGACTTTGCTGAACAATGTCTAATAATTCGTGCAACTCCTCACATTTGCATCCCTCTTATCCACAGTCCTCTAATCTGGAACTTCTGTCGCGTCGGGATGATCTACTATCCCTCCCATTATCGCAGATCAGCACTCCTTTTTATTCACAATTTTACAGGTAATAGCAAGAAATGACAGAACGGTAGCTAAATTAATTAGTTCATATGAGTTTATCCGTGACTGTTTTGCACATAAAGGGAGTAATGTTGGCTACGTATGGTGCGAAAATAGTTAAACATACAAGAATGCTCGAATCATAGAATTAAAACTTTGCCTATCCACTCATCCACGGAAGGGGTATCCTCCCCTAGTGAGATGAGTGGAATTCCACTCTATAAAACTTCCAACAGAACATGTGCAACTTTACTTGTTTTTAAACAAACAGTATATTAGTTTTTAAGGTGTAATTCTTTTCGGACATTTTTCAGTGCTTCTCAGGCCACTGCTGGATGAAGATCTCAAGTCATGCTCGTGATTGCTTGACACATCGCTCCTCGCTTGTGTTCATTGTGACAGTGAATCAAATGCAGATTTTTGCACTCATAGCCCAGTGCACTAACTACCCACTCTACCCTGGTGCATTGGCTATGAAACCAGCGACCTTGTTTTTATTCCTGGCCACAGTGACAGATAATATTGTAAATGGTCCTGCCCCTTTCCCCACCCACACTGCCCATACGATGGGAAAGAAGTTCAACATGCATCCAGAAGTGGAGTGACAAAGGTCTCTAATGTGTCACTGTTTTATTCATTAACACGTACTTGTGCCAAGTCATAATTCCACTGGCCATTAACATCATCCCACACTTTGCAGGCAGTTGTCCTTATTCTGACTTTCACATTTGTGGCATTGCCTGCAGTTTCATTTCCTGCCAAAGAGCATAAAAATATTAAGCATAAGTTAACAGATGTCTTGCTAGCATCTAGGTAAAGATTCGGGTGTTTTCTCATTGTGAAACCTCATGGAAAAATAACATTTGAAAATGGAAAAAACTGAAGAAAAAGACCATTTTTAAATCAGCATTCTTCAAGAGCATATCCTATGTATCCACTGCAATTCTCTCAAGCTGTACACGAGTGACATGTGTGTATATCTGCCAGATAATCTCGCAGAGCTGGGCTTGACTTATATAAATAAAGTATAATTGGATGTTGTGCTATCATTTGTGATTAGGTTTGCCACCTTTTTGACATACCAAGCCCGGACGTCTCAGTCAGAACAGGTCTATCAAAATCGTGCTGTACACCGAGTTCAACACAATACAGTACCAGTACCATGTGTACAAATCAATTCCTCCCACCCGATCAGAGGTGCCAATTCCTTTTACTTGGACTGCCGCTCCAAACCAGTTGCGATGTCACAGGCTCGACACGGAAACAGATGCACCCTTCATTGGCATCCCTCTCAAGAGTCCATGCTCAGAGCCATGTGTTCGTTTAAAATACAGAGCAGAAAGGTTACAACAACGGAAGAGTTTGGGATAGCTTAGCCTAACCCAAGCTAATATTAAGACTTTCAAAAAGTGTTATGAAGATTACAATCAATTGCTTGTAGGGATTGTTGTGAGGGAGGGGGCAAGGGTGGGGTGAGGGAGTGAAGGGGGAGGGGGCTGAACCCGCGGAGCCTCATGGCTTGTGGGGGGCAGCTCAGAACCGTGCTGTTGCTTTTGGGTCCAAAATTAACCACCCCAAGCACCTATGCCAAATCAACGTGGAAAGGTAGCATGAGATTTATATGCAGGATTTCAGCAGTGATCCCCAAGTGCTCTCGTCATCCAGCCTGGAGCAGGTTTTTAATATATACAGCACATTTGCTCAATAAAACATGCATAAAATGTGTTAGGCACGCCTTACCAGTATTCTTGAGTAAAATATAATAAATTCCAGCATTGGTTTCATTGCCAGGGATGAAAAATGATGTCTGTGTCCGAATCACAGAATCACCTGTTCCTTCATGTCGTTCTTTGTTCCTTGCCGCTTCTCTCGACTCCATGACAAAGTGAAAATCAAATTCTGGAAGGTCAACCACTGGGGCTTGATTGTAACGTAAATATAATTCCAGTCTGCCATTGACATCACGAGAATTTGAAATGTCCAATATGATTGCAAAGCCACCGTCCTTAACGATAAACGATTTACAGGCTGAAACGTTATTTGTTTCTACAAAAAAGTTTACTTTAGATCCTGAAATTTTATTATTGCTAACCGTCATCAAAGTGAACATGTTCACGTTTTTATCTTCCCCACTCACTTGCAGGCTGACGACTGAACTGTTTACAGGAGAATCTTTATTCCATGCAAATGGGTTTTCCTTGAAAGCAGATATCTTTAAAAGATACAACAAATAAGTTTATCATACAGTGTATAATTGTAACAGTGATTTTGTCAACGTTTATTTCAAATGTATTTAAATAAATAGCCAGCTGTTTCTTTTCAAGTAATTGTCATCAGTAAGTATACTCCACACCACAAATACAAATGAAGGCGAGAGATGGAAACAAGCCTGGACTGCGACCAACGTCAAAAATAAAGATCTCATACAAGACCATACTGTCGAACCTCCCCTTTTCAACCCTCCACGCCGCCAATGGTCAACCATCGACCGAATCAGGACCGGGTATGACCGAAGAGGCCACCCGATGCACAAATGGTGTATCAAAGATTCGGCGGCCTACGAGTGTGGCCACGAATCCCAAACCATCGACCGCATTGCAAATACTCCACTGGTGTCTTAACTCCTTCAAAGGTGGAATGGACGAGATCCACTCTGCTTCTGAACAGACAATTTAAGTGGACAACAAATCTAAAAATACATTCTTAATTTGAAGCTTTCGTGACTGCAGGAATCCATACTCTTTGGTTCTTTCGGTAAAGTCACGTAGGTAGAAAATTAATAGATCACAACGTTTCGATCGCAACACAAGCAATCGTCATCAGGTGGGACAACCACAGCAGTTTTTTCTTGCTGTGGTTGTCCCAACTGATGACGATTGCTTGTGTTGCGATCGAAATGTGATCTAAAAATACATCTTTAATTTGCTGTTATTAATCCATACGAAATAAGAAGATGTATATTTGAATTATTCCATCATGACAAAAAACTCTGTCTCAAGCCAAGTTTGGATACCTACAGGGAAACCGGGTGTGCATGGCCTGCAATCAGGTCCAGGTGACATGGATCGCAAAGCAGTCTGCTAACCACAGATCAAATATATACTCAATATGCGCACTATTCTAGGCAGGCTGATAAGTATATATTTCCAAATCACACACTTAAAGGACAGCCAATTGCAAAATGTAATTCTGACTTTTCTCGCCAAATGGGAAGCACTTGGAAATGCACCAGGGACGATTGGAACTGGCCATTTCAATTTTCACGAAAAAATATTTTGGCCAAATAAGTATAATACCTAAAATGTATGCGTTCTAAATATTGAGCCTTGTAATTTATTAAAGTAATGTCTAAAGTATTAAAATAAAGCACACCATTTGCATGTTTACCTGTACATTCATTTTCATGGTCGGTGTTATAGACGGTTTGGTATCATTCAGTGGAAAGAGAGAAGCGCTGCTCCCATCTTGTGTCTCCCACGATGAGTTGAATAATTTATGGCCAGTGACCTTCTGGGTTGTTGTGGATACAGACCTTGAGCTGAGACCCACTGCTTTTTCACCAGGTTCGGACTTCTTGTTTTGCAGCGCTCCCAGCAAAAGCATTGTTTGGTAAACACTGTCAAAGAATGTAGACTAAGAAAAAGAATTAAAATTTAACATAAATATGCGGTACAGATTACGGAAAGGGTCAATCTATTTTGTGTGGCAAGAAGATTACTATAATAATAGGGTTTTTCCCTATTTTTCTGGCAACAAAACTGAAATCTTTTTAAAAGGATTCATGTCTGCATTAACCACAATACCTGCAGTCAAAATGCAAACAAAAAACATACTATGATAATATATGAATCCTTGTAGAAAGGTTTCAGTTTTTTGCAAAAAAAACAGGGGAAAACCCCTATTATTATATTTTGGTACTGGCAAAGGAAGTCTAATGATGTAGATGCTCACCCCGAGCCCTCATTACTTTGATAGTGCATTGTCTTTGAGCTGTATGCCTTTTGGCGTCATCTGGTCGAGCACCAATTGGGTCGAGGCTCAAAAGAAAGCCGTCCCTTGATGTGGACCAATCAGTTTCAAGGACAATGCATATTCATAAAGGTTTTTGGGTTAGATCGCGTTATATATAAATGTGCCGTAACCCTCCACCACCCGACACGGCCAAACAGTAAAAAATGTCACGTTTACAAAGAACACATAGTTCACTACTTTAGCCCACCGGTGTTTTGAAGAGTGAATCAACATCATTTAAAATTTGAGTACGATGTTTCGCTGGTAATTACATCCAGCTTCATCGGGCAACGGAGGAGGAGAAATGCACGAGATTCTTCTTCAAAGCATGTAGGGAGGGTGATAACGTAGTCAGGGAATTGGTAAGCTCTACCAGGGGCAGGCAGACGACGGCGCAGGGATGACGAGTATAGCAGAGGACTACTATAGGGAGCGTATGGGAGAAAAGGAACAGATGGAGGGAAGCAGGAGGCGCTGTTGGGGGCACTGGGGAGGAGGATTGGGAACCCAGAGGCGCTGGGGGAGAAGATTTGGCCGGGTGAGGTGGAGGAGGCGGTGAAGGGGCTGAATAGGAATAGAACCCCGGGCCCGGATGGTATCCCAGCGGAGTTCTACGTCAAGTTCTGGGAGCACCTGAAGGAGGACATGTTGCAAATCTGTAGGGAGACTTTAGAGGAGGGCCGGGTGCCGGACGATATGCGGGAGGGATTAGTTACGCTGATTTATAAAGGGAAGGAGGATCACAGGGACTTGCGGAGCTGGCACCCAATTACACTCCTAAACACGGACTATGAGATTTTAGCGAGGATAGTTGCGACGCGATTAGGGAAGGTGGTGGGGGGGTTGGTAGAGCCAGATCAGACGTGCGCGGTCTCGGGGAGGAGGATCGCGGACTCCCTAGTGGTGCTGAGGGAGGCTATAGAAGGGGAAAGAGAGAGGGGGTGTCCACTGGGGATTCTGAGCTTGGACCTGGACAAAGCCTTTGACCGCCTGTCGCATGAGTATATGCTGGCGGTGATGGAGGGAATGGGAGTGAATGGGCCCCTGTTGGAGTGGGTGGCGCGGCTCTATGGTGGGCTCAGGGCTAGGCTTTTGATCAATGGGGAATGCTCGGGGGCGATCCCAGTAGAGTCCGGGGTGAGGCAGGGGTGCCCGATGTCCCCGGTCTTGTTCATCATGAGCATGGAACCTCTTGCGCAGACAATAAGGGATAACCAAAGGATAAGGGGAGTGACAATCCCGGGCAACAAGGAGCAAGGGAAAGTGACATTGTATATGGACGACGTGGCCTTGCTATGCATGGACGTCGCGTCAGTGTGGAGAGCTATGGAGGAGACGGGACGGTTTTGCGCGGCCTCCTGCTTAAAGATTAACACGAGGAAGAGCGAACTGATGGCTTTTGGGGACTCGAGGTTGTTCGAGGGTCGGCCACCGGAGTTGAGACTATAGACGGAAGAGATCACGGTGTTGGGGGTGACCTTCTGTAGGGATAGATCGGCGGAACATAACTGGGAGAAAAGGATAAGGAAGGCGAAGGGACGTTTGGGTAAGTGGGCAGGGAGATGGCTCACGATGGCTGGGAGGATCATGGTGGTGAAGGTGGAGATTCTGCCAACGCTAAACCACCTGGCGCACGTATTCCCACCTGGTAGGAGGGAGGTCAGGGCCTTGACATCGATGCTATTCGGATTTATCTGGGGGGGAGGGATGGAGAGGGTAAGGAGAGCGATACTGTGCAAACGGGTTGTGAACGGGGGGAGGGGCGCCCCAAATGTGGCATACACCCTGATCTCGATCTTTGTGTGTAATGCCATGAGACTGTTCTCCTCTGCAGAACCGCGAGGCAAGGCGGCATGCTACATGAGGTACCGCCTGACGTGGCGCCTGCAGGGCCTCGGGATGACCCAAGCGGAGAGGAGCACACCCTTGGACTGGCCGGGGGGCTGGTTGAGTGAAGTGGTGGGGGACTATATAGAGCAGCACGGCCTGAACCGGTGGGGGGGCCAGTGGAACCCCAGAGAGGTGCGGGCCGAGGCGGAGGAAGGGGAGACCTGTGAGGAGGTGCCAGGTGCGAGGAAGGCGGTACACCGGCAAATTTGGAGGAACACGTCGTCGACTGCACGCACAAAAGAGCAGAGGGACCTATCCTGGCTGGCGGTCCGGGACAAACTGGGGACGAGGGGCTTCATGTACGCCCGCCAAATGGCACGCACCCCCAAGTGCCCGAGGGGCTGCAATGTGGACGAGAGCGCTATACATGTGATGGTGGCATGCCCCTTTGCACAGAAGGTGTGGAGGCGGAGCGAACCACTGTTAGCCCGGTTCGCCCCAACGAAGGTGACAACGTGGGACATGTGGGGGGAATTGCGGGGAGTGAGAGGGGAGGACAGGGACCGGGCGTGGGCCATAATAGGCGCAACAAAGGAGGCCTTATGGAAGGCGCGCAAGAAGGAACTGGATGGGTCCCAGATGTCCCCTTTGGAAACGTGCTACATGGCAAGGAGGTTGTTGGAGAGGTTGGTGGATTGGGTGAGGCTGGGATACGAAGCCGCATGGGAAAAGTGGAATTGGCCGCTGCCCAGGGTGGGATAGGGTGGGGCCAGGTGTCAGGAGGAGAGTGTGGTGGGAAGTACACGAGTGTACCGCGCCGGCCGGCTGAGGGGCGGGACACAGAGCGCCTGGAATTTCAGGTCGGGAGGACGGGGGGGGGGCGGCGCGGGAACGGACGGTGCCTGGGATGGGGAGGGGGGCTTTACGGGCGCCTGGGGGCGAGGTCGCGCGTGGCTGGAGGGGAGGTGGCCCTCCATGCACAGATGCGCCCCAGTGCTGTGTCGGGCGGGGGTGATTCCGGTCTCGCGGATGTGTCGGTGGCCGGGTGGGGCCTTTGTGGCGCGCGGGAGGGGGCGGCTCCTCGTTCTTTATTTGAGTTCTTCGCTGAGAAGCTGAATAAAATTCAAAAAATCGTAATTACCAGCGAAACGTCGTACTCAAATTTTAAATGATGTTGATTCACTCTTCAACACACCGGTGGGCTAAAGTAGTGAACTATTTGTCCTTTGTAAACGTGACACATTTTTTTACTGTTTGGCCGTGTCGGGTGGTGGAGGTTAATGACTCAAATATATATATAAAGCGAACTAACCAAAAAACCATTATTATGAATAATATTGGTCGCGAAAGCCTACGTGTTAAACTGACAATGCATATATTATCATAGTATGTTTTTTGTTTGCATTTTGACTGCAGGTATTGTGGTTAATGCAGATTTTTGTACTGGAAAAGGAGGTCTAATGAAGAAGATTACTTTTACCATTATGTCTAAATATCAAATAAATGGTTATATATTTCATGAATTTATACGCTGTTTCCCCTCGCTTTGTACGGCAGTCGTAGATGTATTCCAAAAAAAGGGCACACAAAGCGAAACCGAACGAGACAGCCGCCTACCGAGTAGTGCACGCAGTACACAAGCAATGTCCCACGTCCGACCACATAGCCATGTTTGAGTGAATTCAAACCACATCGCAAATTTTAGGTAAAAATAGATTAGCCGCATATTCACGAAATCACACAAACCGAAACCGCGTAAAGCGAGGAAAACCTATTTACAAAATGTATTTTTTTCTTTCTGGAATGGCAAATTTACACGTTGCCTATTTCTAAAAATTTCAGCTATTCATAAAGATAAGATGTGCTATATTAATACTAAATTAGTCATTTGCTTTTTTTATTTGCTGCATCATAACATTTTCAAACTTGCTCGGTGACACTGGAATATTATAGTACAATTGTATCACAATGATCAGAATCCAAATCTCAATCATCGTGGAGAAATCTGATGAGCTATGAAGCTCTTTTTCACAGATTCCCAGTAGTTTCAGAGATGCCCAACAAGAAAAAAAATATGTTCAATTTATAAAACATGACATTTTGCGTGTTTCCCAATGCATTCCAGTACAGAGTTGTATCTGCTAAACACAGGGCTATTCTTTGCCCAAAATAATGCCAGACACTAAGCTGAAAATGCACGAGGTTAAAAGGAAAACTACACTAACATAGCAATCTAATGAATGCAGTACATTTTACAGTACTAAAACCCAAATCTTAAGGAGATGGTCCTTGCAGATTACTACATCTGGTAGTTTACCAGTATTGATTCAAGCAAGCCTGATTACTGAAGGGATGCTATGTCAAAATGGGTCTCAAGTTTGCTTTTACTGAATCAATGCTGCTGACATTGTGCACTCCCAGAAGGCCATGGGGCTGATAGTATGGGTAAAACTATATATTTTTTTTTATTTTGAGAGATATTATTATATATAGGGAAACTTTCACCAGAATAGGGTGGCAACATTTGGTAAAGTAAATAGTCAAAACCAGCTGATAGTAGGCAAATATCACAAAGAATATCACAATGCATTCCATGAATGACACTATAGTTTTTAAAGTTATTCCAATTAAATAGTGGTCACTTATTTGATTGACCGGCACGAGTAGAGTATTTTTTTTTTCCAGTCACCATAGCGCAGCTGTGCAGTGACGAAGCAGATTCAGTTTGCAAGCCAAGGCAAATCCCACAAAGCTCCTCATGATAATGAGACTGGACAGCAGCTGCTCGAGGCTTTTAATAGCAATAGCTTGCAGAACAGGTCAACATTATCCCTTAACAAATAGCATCTGGATACGATTCCAAAAATTAAACGTGTAACAAATAACTTCAATGGATATCCAGAATTCATGAGCAATACGTACCGCCTGAGTGTAAGCTGAGGACCTCTTTGTTCTATTTCTGTCCAAGCTACTTTGCTCTGCAAGCATTTTCTCGATTACCGCTGTGCACACGGAGAAAGCATCTGCCAATGGAAAGATAAGCCTCGTGAAATGAAAAGAAAACATTCACATGGATCTATTTCTAATCGTATTCATCAAAGGGTATCTGCCTCTGTGTCGACAGTTACGGTATATACATTTAAGTAGTAAAAAAAGTTGACCCAAATAGTGAAATATGGTAATATTTTACTGGATAAGTAGTCATTGTACACATTTTTGCTCCACTTTGCTTTGATCGTTTAATATCTGTGTATACAAGTATGATACGGCAGTACATTATTATGGTTTACATTACCTTTGGTTACTTTCATTACGGATCTTTTCCCAGTTGTCAGACTATCCATACTCTCTAGTGCGTTGGTAATACGTCCCAGCAAAACAGTCTGAAACACATGAAGCAAGCAATGACAGTAAAACAAATACACGTACACTATGGGGAGTAGTTTTTGCTCGTTGCAAACTCCCAACATATTTTCTTGAGCCTTAAACTATCATCATGTACTCATTTAACCATGATGTAATGATGAAAATGGGATTTTGAATAGGTTAAAATTGATGGTATGTTTTCGTACAGTTTGTGTATAACTGAGAAATACGTATTATTCAATAAAATGTGGCAAGAATATTGGTTATTCGCATTTGAATGTTGTTACAAATGTGTGGTGCATTACGGCGGTGCATACCTGATCATCATTTGTAAAATACTCTGCCATCTGGCTCAGATCACGAGTGTATTGCAAAATCGCGTTTGCACTATTGAGGGACATGTTTGTACTGCCCATTGCCTTTACGAGCGCTGCTGTGAGCTACAAAACACAAACGGCAGTTCCAACGAAGGATTAAACACACGCCAATGGCAACTGCAATGTAATAATTTCACATTTGCGGGCACTGTACCGTTCCATGGTATTATGAGACCTCCTTTGCCAGTAACAAGATATAGTAATAGGTTTTACCATTTTAACTGGCGCAAAAACTGACACCTTTATTCAAGGCATCATGTTTGCAATAACCACAACACAAGCAATCAAAATGCAAACAAAAGAGACAACTCTGATAATAATATGCACTGTCCTTGAATTTGATTGGTCCACACCCGAGACGGCTTTTCTTAGAGCCTAGTCTCCAATGGTGTTGGACCAGAAGACGCCAAAAGGAGTACAACTCAAAAACAGAGCACTATCAGAGTATTGAGGGCTCGGGGTGAGCATTTACATTATGAGACCTCCTTTGCCAGTAACAAGATATAGTAATAGGTTTTACCCTTTTAACTGGCACAAAAACTGACACCTTTATTCAAGGCATCATGTTTGCAATAACCACAAAATAAGCAGTCAAAATGCAAACAAAAGAGACAACTCTGATAATAATATGCACTGTCCTTGAATTTGATTGGTCCACACCCGAGACGGCTTTTCTTAGAGCCTAGTCTCCAATGGTGTTGGACCAGAAGACGCCAAAAGGAGTACAACTCAAAAACAGAGCACTATCAGAGTATTGAGGGCTCGGGGTGAGCATTTACATTATGAGACCTCCTTTGCCAGTAACAAGATATAGTAATAGGTTTTAACCTTTTAACTGGCACAAAAACTGACACCTTTATTCAAGGCATCATGTTTGCAATAACCACAAAATAAGCAGTCAAAATGCAAACAAAAGAGACAACTCTGATAATAATAATATGCACTGTCCTTGAATTTGATTAGTCCACACCCGAGATGGCTTTTCTTAGAGCCTAGTCTCCAATGGTGTTGGACCAGAAGATGCCAAAAGGCGTCAAGGACAGTGCATATTATTAGCAGAGTTGTCTCTTTTGTTTGCATTTTGACTGCTTGTGTTGTGGTTATTGCAAACATGATGCCTTGAATAAAGGTGTCAGTTTTTGTGCCAGTTAAAAGGGTAAAACCTATTACTATATATTATTACTGGCAAAGGAGGTCTCATAATGTAAATGCTCACCCCGAGCCCTCAATACTCTGATAGTCTTATTTGGTTCTTTCGGTAAAGTCACGTAGAATGAGAATAAAAGTATAAAATAAAATAAGACAATAAAATTCTCACGACTTTGCGGCCACAACACAAGTAGCCTTCTTCAGGTGAAAGAACAGAACTGTCGGGACGACAGAGCTTCAATTAACGCTGCTAAGATTCGCAGCATCTTTTAAGCTCAGTGAGAAGCGTAAAGAGCCTTGACAAAGGAGTTTACATACCAGAGCAGGAGAATTTAGCATTTAAAAAACTGAGGGATTAGCTTGTGACAGAAATAGCTGTGTTAAAGTCAAAGTTTACATATCAACAGAGGCATTTAGTATATGAACGCTAAGGGCCTCCAACTAACCAACTATCATAAAGTAAACCGATGTTAAAAACTAAGTCTATATCACGTGAATATAATAAATGTAATAAATTGATAAAATAAAATAACACAATAATATTCTCACGACGTTTCGGCCACAACACAAGCGGCCTTCATCAGGTGAAGGGACGAGACTGTCTGGTAGGACAGCGCTGGAGTGAAAGAGCCACGTTCAGATCACGGCCTTTAAGCTGTGTGAGAGGAACAAAGCGCCTTGACAAAGGAATTAGCATATAATTTAGCATTGAAATGGCTGAATGATTAGCTTGTGACTGGTCACAGAAATAGCTATGTTAAAAGTTAAAGCATACACATCCGCAGAGGCACCCCTTGTTAAAGGAATTAGCATAGAATTTAGCATTGAAATAGCTAAGTTAAAGCATACACATCCGCAGAGGCACCCCTTGACAATGGAATTAGCATAGAATTTAGCATTGAAATAGCTGAGTGATTAGCTTGTAACTGCTCACAGAAATAGCTACGTTAAAGTCAGAGCATACACATTCACCGAGGCACTTAGTACAAATCAAACAGGAGAATTTAGCATTGAAATAACTAGGCGAATTTAGCATTGAAATAACTGAGTGATTAGCTAGTGACTGGTCACAGAAATGACTATGTTGAAGTCAAGGCCTACACATCTGAGCTATTCACAGTACTATATAGTGAACCAATAAAAAATAAAAAAATAAAAATTAGCTTAATGTTATCAATAAACTCTATATTCTCCAATCAGCTAAGCTACCAACAATAAGTCGTTATATATCACAATGCTATATGGCGAAAAAATGGCTGGATTCTTACCCTCAACTTTAGCACCACGGATAGCTACGGGCCCCGTTCAGACGGACGAGTTCGTCCATGGTCGGAACAGAGGAGGGGGAGAGAGACAGCTGCGAGGCGCTATTATACTCCATGTTGTAAAACCATACCATTAACCATGGTGTGAGAGGTATTAAGAGTCAATGCTGGCGAAGGAGCTGCGGTCTGAAGGTCATCGTAAAAATACAATTAATTAAGAACAGAAATGATTTAAAACATCTTTGCAGTGGTAACTAAGCCAGAATCCATCTTCTCGGTTGAAATTGTCTCTGTGCTTGTATATGTGAATGGCCTCATGAACGAATCTCTCATGGTAGCCGGTTGGTTTGCAAAGAACCTCCGTCTTGGAGAAGTCAATGTCATGTGAGCCCACTGAATTATAACAGTGATCTGCCACGGCAGAGGAGTTCGTCCTACCGTGTTTCAAGTCTGCTTTATGTTCGCGGATGCGGTCCGAGATATGTCTTTTGGTTTCTCCAATGTAGCTACTACCACAGAGGCACTTTAGTTTGTAAATGCCCGGGTACTGTATGTCTGGAACAGCATCTTTTACAGATGGAACTAAATCACGGATTTTATGTACTGTGTTGAATCGGACCTGGATCTTGTGTTTATTCAGGATTTTGGAGATCTTTTTAGTGACCCCTGCAATGTAGGGTAAGGTGATGGTTTTGAGTGGCTCCACAAGAGGATCCTTCTTCATGACTGGAGTGATGGCTTTGCGGATTGTGTAGTCGGAGTAGCCATTAGCCCTGAGAGCCTGGTGTACGTGCTTGAGTTCACTGGTAATGTGTTCCTGGTCGGAAATGTATTGGGCTCTATGGTATAGAGTCTTGATGAGGGAGTTCTTCTGGGATGGATGGTGGTGGGAATCCGGTTTCAAGTAAGCATCTGTATGGGTAGCTTTCCTGTAGACAGAGTGGCTCATTGAACCATCATGTCTCCTTTTAATTAAGACATCCAAAAAGGGTAGTTTGCCATCTTTTTCGACCTCCATGGTAAATCTGATGGCTGGGTGTATGGAATTGATGTGGTCGCAGAATTGGTCTAGAGCAGGCTGGCCATGTGGCCAGATGACAAAGGTGTCATCAACGTACCTCTTCCATAAGGTCGGGCGTAGAGTGGCAGTCTGGATGGCGTCAGTTTCAAATTTTTCCATGAATACGTTGGCTACAACCGGAGATAGGGGGGAGCCCATTGGGGTGCCCTCAGTTTGTTTGTAGAAAGTTCCATTCCAGGTGAAGTATGTGTTGGTTAAGCAATGTCTCACCAGGGGGGGTACATCAGTATGCAGTCCTTGATGAACCAGGTCTTCAATGATAGCGATGGTGTCAGGTACCGGGACTTTGGTGAACAAGGACACCACATCAAAACTGACAAGCAGGTCGTTTGGGGACAGGGAAATGCCTTTGATTGTCGATACCAGGTGAGTAGAATTTAGTACCGCAGAGGTGGTTTTTCCAGTGAAAGGTCGCAGTATATCAGCAAGAAAACGTGCCAGTTTGTAGGTGGGGGGGTTGATAGTAGAGACGATGGGACGAAGGGGTGTATCTTCTTTGTGTATCTGACGCCATCCAGACTGCCACTTTACGCCCGACCTTATGGAAGAGGTACGTTGATGACACCTTTGTCATCTGGCCACATGGCCAGCCTGCTCTAGACCAATTCCGCGACCACATCAATTCCATACACCCAGCCATCAGATTTACCATGGAGGTCGAAAAAGATGGCAAACTACCCTTTTTGGATGTCTTAATTAAAAGGAGACATGATGGTTCAATGAGCCACTCTGACTACAGGAAAGCTACCCATACAGATGCTCACTTGAAACCGGATTCCCACCACCATCCATCCCAGAAGAACTCCCTCATCAAGACTCTATACCATAGAGCCCAATACATTTCCGACCAGGAACACATTACCAGTGAACTCAAGCACGTACACCAGGCTCTCAGGGCTAATGGCTACTCCGACTACACAATCCGCAAAGCCATCACTCCAGTCATGAAGAAGGATCCTCTTGTGGAGCCACTCAAAACCATCACCTTACCCTACATTGCAGGGGTCACTAAAAAGATCTCCAAAATCCTGAATAAACACAAGATCCAGGTCCGATTCAACACAGTACATAAAATCCGTGATTTAGTTCCATCTGTAAAAGATGCTGTTCCAGACATACAGTACCCGGGCGTTTACAAACTAAAGTGCCTCTGTGGTAGTAGCTACATTGGAGAAACCAAAAGACATATCTCGGACCGCATCCGCGAACATAAAGCAGACTTGAAACACGGTAGAACGAACTCCTCTGCCGTGGCAGATCACTGTTATAATTCAGTGGGCTCACATGACATTGACTTCTCCAAGACGGAGGTTCTTTGCAAACCAACCGGCTACCATGAGAGATTCGTTCATGAGGCCATTCACATATACAAGCACAGAGACAATTTCAACCGAGAAGATGGATTCTGGCTTAGTAACCACTGGAAAGATGTTTTAAATCATTTCTGTTCTTAATTAATTGTATTTTTACGATGACCTTCAGACCGCAGCTCCTTCGCCAGCATTGACTCTTAATACCTCTCACACCACGGTTAATGGTATGGTTTTACAACATGGAGTATAATAGCGCTTCGCAGCTGTCTCTCTTCCCCTCCTCTGTTCCGACCATGGACGAACTCGTCCGTCTGAACGGGGCCCGTAGCTATCCGTGGTGCTAAAGTTGAGGGTAAGAATCCAGCCATTTTTTCGCCATATAGCATTGTGATATATAACGACTTATTGTTGGTAGCTTAGCTGATTGGAGAATATAGAGTTTATTGATAACATTAAGGTAATTTATATTTTAGTTTGTTTTTATTGGTTCACTATATAGTACTGTGAATAGCTCAGATGTGTAGGCCTTGACTTCAACATAGTCATTTCTGTGACCAGTCACTAGCTAATCACGCAGTTATTTCAATGCTAAATTCGCCTAGTTATTTCAATGCTAAATTCTCCTGTTTGATTTGTACTAAGTGCCTCGGTGAATGTGTATGCTCTGACTTTAACGTAGCTATTTCTGTGAGCAGTTACAAGCTAATCACTCAGCTATTTCAATGCTAAATTCTATGCTAATTCCATTGTCAAGGGGTGCCTCTGCGGATGTGTATGCTTTAACTTAGCTATTTCAATGCTAAATTCTATGCTAATTCCTTTAACAAGGGGTGCCTCTGCGGATGTGTATGCTTTAACTTTTAACATAGCTATTTCTGTGACCAGTCACAAGCTAATCATTCAGCCATTTCAATGCTAAATTATATGCTAATTCCTTTGTCAAGGCGCTTTGTTCCTCTCACACAGCTTAAAGGCCGTGATCTGAACGTGGCTCTTTCACTCCAGCGCTGTCCTACCAGACAGTCTCGTCCCTTCACCTGATGAAGGCCGCTTGTGTTGTGGACGAAACGTCGTGAGAATATTATTGTGTTATTTTATTTTATCAATTTATTATTTTATTCTCATTCTACGTGACTTTACCGAAAGAACCAAAGAAGATGAATCATTGCAGTCACGAAAGCTTTAAATCGAAATATAATAAATGTACTTAATATATTCTTCAATAAGCTGAGCTATTAATCATACAGCAACTGGGTATGCATTACACTATATAATGAATACCATATAGTAAACCAATAAATAAACTAAAATATAAGCTCCTCAATGTCATCAATAAACTCTATATACTCTCCAATCAGCTGAGCAACTAACAATAAGTCGTTATATATCACAATGTTATATGGTGAAAAATGGCGGTTTTTCCCATCCCCTCAACATCAGCACCAAGGACAGCGACGTTCAGGCGGACAAGTCAATTCATGCTCGGAAGGGAGGAGGGGGGAGGGAGAAACAGTCACAATGCCAGCGAAAGAGCTGCGGTTTGACGGTCACCGTAAAATACAATTAATTAAGAACCGAAATGGTTTAAAACATCTTTCCAATGGTTACTAAGCCAGAATCCATCTTCTCGGTTGAAATTGTCTCTGTGTTTGTATATGTGGATGGCCTCATGAACGAATCTCTCATGGTAGCCGGTTGGCTTGCAAAGAACCTCCGTCTTGGAGAAGTCAATGTCATGTGAACCCACTGAATTATAACAGTGATCTGCCACGGCAGAAGAGTTCGTCCTACCGTGTTTCAAGTCTGCTTTATGTTCGTGGATGCGGTCCGAGATATGTCGTTTGGTTTCCCCAATGTAGTTGCTACCACAGAGGCACTTTAGTTTGTAAACGCCCGGGTACTGTATGTCTGGAACAGCATCTTTTACAGATGGAACAAGATCACGGATTTTATGTACTGTGTTGAATTGGACCTGGATCTTGTGTTTATTCAGGATTTTGGAGATCTTTTTAATAACCCCTGCAATGTAGGGTAAGGTGATGGTTTTGAGTGGCTCCTCAAGAGGATCCTTCTTCATGACTGGAGTGATGGCTTTGCGGATTGTGTAGTTGGAGTAACCATTAGCCTTAAGAGCCTGGTGTACGTGTTTGAGTTCACTGGCAATGTGTTCCTGGTCGGAAATGCATTGGGCTCTATGGTATAGAGTCTTGATGAGGGAGTTCTTCTGGGATGGACGATGGTGGGAATATAGACTTAGTTTTTAACATCGGTTTACTTTATGATAGTTCGTTAGTTGGAGGCCTTTAGCGTCCATATACTAAATGCCTCTGTTGATATGTAAACTTTGACTTTAACACAGCTATTTCTGTCACAAGCTAATCCCTCAGCTATTTCAATGCTAAATTCTCCTGCTCTGATATGTAAACTCCTTTGTCAAGGCTCTTCACGCTTCTCACCGAGCTTAAAAGACGCTATGGTTTACTTTATAGTAGTTGGTAATTGGAGACCTTTAGCATCCATATACTAAATGCCTCTGTGGATATGTAAACTTTGACTTTAACACAGCTATTTCTGTCACAAGCTAATCCCTCAGTTTTTTCAATGCTAAATTCTCCTGCTTTGATATGTGAACTCCTTTTTCAAGGCTCGCCACGCCTCTTACCAAGCTTAAAAGACCCTGCGAATCTTAGCAGCGTAAATTGAAGCTCTGTCGTCCCGACAGTTCTGACCTTTCACCTGAAGAAGGCTACTTGTGTTGTGGCCAAAACGTCGTGAGAATTTTATTGTCTTCTTTTATTATTTTATTCTCATTCTACGTGACTTTACCGAAAGAACCAAAGAAGATGAATCCTTGCAGTCACGAAAGCTTTAAATCTAAATTTATATACTCTGATAGTGCGCTGTTTTTGAGTTGTACGCCTTTTGGCATCTTCTGGTCCAACACCATTGGAGACTAGGCTCTAAGAAAAGCCGTCTCGGGTGTGGACCAATCAAATTCAAGGACAGTGCATATTATTATCAGAGTTGTCTCTTTTGTTTGCATTTTGACTGTTTGTGTTGTGGTTATTGCAAACATGATGCCTTGAATAAAGGTGTCAGCTTTTGTGCCAGTTAAAAGGGTAAAACCCATTACTATACCGTTCCGTGGTCGTTAAGCAGGAGCTGAGTTCTCGAACAAAACTCGCGGTTTACAGATCGATTTACATTCCCACCTTCACCTATCTTCATGAGCTTTGGGTAATGACCGAAAGGATGAGATCAGGGGTACGAGGGAACGAAATGAGGTTTCTCCGCAGGGTTGCCGGGCTCACTTTCCATGATCGAGTGAGGAGTTCGGTAATCTGGGAGAGCCTCAGAGTTGACCCGTTGCTTCTCCGGATCGAGAGGAGCCAGTTGAGGTGTTTCGGGCACCTTCTAAGGATGTCCCCTGATAGACTCCCCCTGGAACTCTATCGAGTAGCACGTCGAAGACCCCATGGCCGGCCCAGGACACGCTGGCGGGACTATATCGCTCAGCCTGCCTGGGAACGATTGGGAATTCCCAAGGAAGAGCTTGAGTCTGTCGCCAGGTAAAGGGAGGTCTGGACCACCCTACTCAATATGCTCTCGCCGCGACCCTCGCCAGGACAAGCGGAATGAGAAACGAACGAACAAACATTCTTGATCAATACAAAAACGCATTGCTAACATTGCACATTAAATTAACACATTTGTTCAACGAAAGTACCTGCGTCACATCATATTCACTGGCAATGTCTTTCAAGGCTGCTGTTGTAATGCTGATGAATGTAGAGACAATTGGATTGCTATGTTGCACCATGAGCTGGATTGTGCCACCAGATGCTAGCATTGCGTGCGTGTTGTTTACCAACAAATCTACTGGAGGACGTGTCACCTGAAAAACAAATTGCATCTGTCAATAAAGCCCTTTATAAACGGTGAACTGTAATACATATATCGCAATGCAATTTTAATTCAACGTATTATTTTTGTTAATAGTTCTTCGGACATGACGATATGGCTGAGACCAAGGTGAGATCACTAAGCTGTCATCACTCAGATCCTCGATCCGAATCCAGGCACCAATCCAGGCTTAAACTGAGATTACAAATGTCGTAAGTTGATGATCTTAGTCTAGTCACTGTAACCAAACATTTTTCATTAGGTTTGCACCTAATGTGTCTGAATTCCAACACTGAAAATAAAATAAAATCGGACTTTCCATCTCACAAATAAACATTTATTGATCGATTTGTTTGACTGCAATTCATCTATTTCTGATGTAGAAGGTTGCACTGGCGGAGCCAGTGGGGGGGAGGGGGGGTGGCACGTGCCCCCCCCCCCCAATGATCCGATCAAAATTATGGATTTCGATCGGATCATTTGGGTTTATCTATCTTTCATATCTATATGAAAGTCAAAAATTGTCTGTTTGTAAGTTTGTGGCTTTGTGTGTGTTCGCGCACTTGCGAAGGATTTGGCTCTCCAACGGTGGGGTTTACATTAAATCAAAATAGCCAGCTACCACGCCGTAAGCTCCGCCGTGAGCAAGCGCTATTCCATTTTCACATCCGTCAACTTTTAATAAGTTTAATTAGCGATTTAGTGCGATTTTTTCGTGCTATATATTTACGATGCGTGCACGACCATACCAACTCACGCGCCTTTAGTGGGAGGACGGCCCATGCCAAGTCGCACGCCTTCGGTGGGAGTGAGGGGGACATTTTCTTTCACATTAATACTGCTTTAAAAATACACAACGCTGAGCTTAAATTTTTACTGTGTGATGTCCCCCTCACCCCGATGCGGGCAGTTACTAATATATAGTCGCTAGATGCTACCACTATAGGCCGTAGATATTACTGCAGAGCGGCTGGGGAGATTGTGGCTGGGAGGGGGGGGTCAGGGGTAGCAGCCCAGCTCCAGCCTGCCAAGGTGCCACCTCGGCTGGCTGGACAATCTAGGCGAGGCCGGAGGCTCTGCAATGGACTAGGCCTCACCACGCCACTCTGTTAGGTGAGTACTTTGTAATATAGAGTCGATAAATACTGCTATAGAATCAGTATGTACTACTGTAGTGATAGCAGGTACCACCACAGTTGGTATGCACTGCTGTAATCATAGGTACCACCACAGTCAGTACGCACTGCTGTTAGATTTTTAAGAGTAGTTTTGAAATATTTTTTTGGCCCGGGCAACACCGGGTATATAAGCTAGTTAGTGAAAAAAATCGGCGTTTCGCGACCCCTACTGCCACTGTGTAGCATATTACTATGTGCCGGGGACTCTATGAGATGATAAGACAAAAGTGAGTCCATAATTGGCAATAAGTAACGGCAAAGCAGTTATAAGTGACTCAGAATTGTGCGTAGTTGTGTATACAGTACATGACATCCCTGAAGGCATACCTTCAGCGAGCGTGATGCCGATCACACACGGTTCGAATTCGACCCCCGATCGATGGCTGTGCCATCGCCGCACACGCTTCGAATAAAAAGCAAGGGACAACTCCTTACTTACAACTATCATTTTTCATTGCTGGAGGGGTTGTCCCCCTACCTTAAAATCCTGGCTCCGTCATTGGAAGGGTGGAATGTAAAAGTGGCATCACCTATTATTCATCAGAGGTTACTTAAAACGAAAACATGTTTATTTTATCAAGTAAGGCCCACTGAGCTTCATAGCTCTTTTTTTGAAGTGACCTGGCCACAAATGATTGCTCAACGAAGTGGCTTATCACGTGGAAATGTATAACAGCCAAAATACTCTAAACGTGTGTTGATTCGAAATGTGGGGGGAAAACCCGAAAGACCTGTAGAAAAATCCACGCGACCATGGGGATAACATGCAAACTCCAATATACAGGCGTCAGGGTCGGGATTTAACCCAGGACCTCCTGCATACCAGGGAAGGTAGTTAACATCTTGCCACCGTGGCCCCATAGGATCTCACAAGCAGTGTTACTATATCCAATCCTGCGGGCCATTCTCTAACCAGGGATGTTGCATTGCTCTGTGAGAATTCTAAACGGATTCCTGAAATTTATAGCTCAGGATGAGCAGCTAAAAAATGGGACCATTTTTCCAGTATCAAGGTATGAAAAAAAAAGAATACGTTTTACCCTTTCTGGCAAAAAAAAACAGGTGGTAAGATGTTCAAACACCAAATAGGAACTTTTTGCAAGAAATCAAGTTCGCGTTAACCACACGTACTTGTGGTGAACGTGTAAACAAACATACTATGATAATATATGTGTAGTGACTGTACTTGTCACTGTATGGTGCCGGGACTTGCAAAGTCACGGCCGGTGATGTTGTCAATGCGGGCAGCCTGGGTTGCGGGCTGCAGTACCAACACTAGCGGTGGTTGGGTAAGCGCTGGTGAGCGCGAAGGCACCACGAGCAGCGTGCGGTGCAGGCTCCCAGTGAGGGAGCGAGAGCGAGTGTCAGCCAGCCAGGGTTACGCTGGGGCATGACACTCTGGCTGACCTGTTGTCACGTGACCGGACGATGGTGGAGGGGGGCCACCGGTGGACGGGGGCCCAGGGGCGGTCACGTGGTCCCGGAGAGCTCTCGGGAACGTTCGAAAAAAGCCCTGTAGAACCTGGAAGCTGGGCGTGGCTAAGGGCAGAGCCAGCCCCAGCCCGGGGGCATATAACGAGAGCTCCGTGAGGAGCTCGGGGTTCTTCAAGGTTTGGTGTTCGAAGATCCACGTTGGGGAGTAGAAGCCTCTAGCCACGCGGTCCGGAACCAAGCTTGTGGTCCGGACCGGGATAGCAAACCGTGTCTAGTTGTGCCGTAGCGTGGCTCGATGGGCATTCGAGACCCGAGCGTAGGTTATGTTGTGTTGGCGCTGTTGCGTTAAATAAATAGTGTTGCTCCCAAGTTAACGTCTGCGACTCCTTTGGACTCACTACATATGCATTGTCTTTGTGAGACAAGGCCCTAAAGAAGGCTGTCTCTGGTGTAGGCCAATCAATTTAAAAGACAATACATATATTATCAGAGCATGCTTGTTTGCTAGTTCATCACAAGTACGTGTGGTTAATGAGACCTTGATTCCTTGCAAAATGTTTATATTTGGTGTTTGAAAATTTTAACACCTGTTTTATTGCCAGAAATGATAAAACGTATGTTTTCATACAATGGAGATGATTTCTTAAATGACTGCCTTTCCAGATTGTTTCACATTGAGGAGTCTCATTGACCAAAGAGGCTATTAGAATGAAAATCCAAGCAATGTTCTTTTTTTACATTAGTAAAAAATAATTCACAAATGAGTATGTATACAAACTCTTACCAACACATGTATGGGGGCCGACGCACAAGCTGCCGCGGAGTTGCACACGCTCGCCCTGAGGTCCAGCGTCCCTTGGTTATCTAGGTCTCCCACCGGCAGCAGCAGAGAGGGAGTCTGGCTCAGCTGAGAGCTGTAGAGCAGGAACTCGGTGTGGTTCGACACGGCCTTAAACGTGTAGGTGAGCTGCTGTTGGGACTTACTCGTCCAGCCACTGCATGAGAGCTGGAAGAGCGTCATTGCTGCAAAACCTTGAGTGAAATTACGAGAGAGAATATAAATGTAAAAGTCTGTAGGGCAGCATTAGTTATGACTGACACAGAATATTTATTTAGACTGGAGGAATCCGATGAGCGGTGACGCTCTTTTTCACATGTCCAGTAGGGGCACGGTGTCAGCAAGTTGCAATGCAACAAACAATACACAGACAAAAACACGAATGAAATGAGTGCAAGGTAAGCAAGTCACGCTAAATAAATATATTGTTAATAAATAAAGCTTTTAAGTATAACATTCCTGGAGAGTTTTCAACGCTAAATTCAAGCTTGGGCAAGGCAACTAAAAGAATAAAAAAAACAGTCACAGACCACACCAGGAGAACACACGTTCCCTCAATAACATTGCACATTAAAATGTAACGATACACAAGTGGTAAGGCTCAAACGTACAAACCAAATTTACAAATGTGATTGTATCCAGCCAGGTTATTACATATTCAGAGGACGCTTTAAAAGTCGCTGTTCTAAAACCAATCGTCAACGCAATACCTGAGCAACACATTTCTGTTCACTATGACATGCGACTAAGTGCATTGTTAAATCATTGCTTTAACTTCATGGAGCTTCACCTATTTCATTAAACATGAATATCTGTTAAGCTTCAAGCAACAAAGAAGCTCAAGTACAGCGTTAGCCAGCATTCGTTTTGGAAATAAAGCAGCCTTTGAGCATACTTTCACAGATAGTGTATATATTCAAGGGGCAGTGAAACATTTTAATATCAGTTTTTTAAAGTGTAACACCAACTTGGTGGCTTTGTCACCTAACATGAATAAACTAAGGTGACAAGGGTACCAAGAATAAAGTTCGGTAATGAATAGTACAGCTGCGCAAGTCTCACAATTTACAGACTGGAATCGTGATTACACTCTTGGAATTGAATGCTATTCCAAGCAGGTTTGTGGGATCAGGGGAGTTTGGGGTGCGAAGAGAGGGCTCATGGGCCGACCTAGTGACTCGTACTTACATAGCATCTGTGTTTAGTTTGTTGTCTGTCCCCCGCACCTCCGATAAGCAAGACGCGACAAAAGTTCAAAATATACGTACATATGCTTCAGTCCTGGTTCCGGACAGTGTACTGTTGCGAGACACGGTGTAATACTGACCCGATTCTGGGTCGCATGTGCACGTGCCATTGCTTTGGGGGATGCTTGTTGAAAATGCGTATGTGGCCTCTGCAGCAGCTCTACTGGCAGTTCCAACTCTCACTTTAATCTGGTATTCCTCCCCGATCTCCAGCATGTCTTCAAGCACCACCAAGCCTCCATCTTCGGTGCCTTAAAACAAACATACATAGCCGATAATAAAGGTTTTTTGTTGGGTTAGATCGCGTAAATATAAATGTGTCGTTAAACCTGCCACCACCTGATACAGCCAATTAGTAACGTTTGTCACGTAAACAAAACGTGCCAATTAGTTACTAGTTCAGCACACCGGTGTGTTTGAGATACGTAGAACATACATAGCCCATGTAATCATACACACACACTGCATGTACAATATAAACTTTACAAGAATAAACTGCAGAAAACCAATAACTGTGCAATTAGTTCAAACTCAGACACAGTTATGGATGGTAAGTAAATTAGTTGTCAACATTGCTGAAAAATGTGCATGCATAAGGATATGCATTTGTTGGGAACAACACATGCCTCGACAATTGATAGCACATCTTCTCCACCATTCCATTGCGCTGCTACAGTCTAGTGCTTCTTAACCTTGACTGCAGCCTTGCACCCCTTTCGTTCTCAATCGTAAAAAAAAATTATAATGCAAAAAAATACGTAGGGTTTAATGAAACAAGGTAGTTGTACTTACGTGCCCGTGCTTAATTTGCGTTTCGATTATTTACCTTCTAAAAAAAATCTGGCCATGTCTCGCACCCCCAGAAATTGCATCTCGCACCTCCAGGGGGTGCGTGCACCCAAAGTAAAGAGCCACTGGTCTAGCCCGATGGAACCTCCTGCGGCAAGCTGTTCCCTGCGTGGCACGAAGGTGGACGCAGCACCGCCCTGCCAAGTGCGCATTACATTCGTCTGCCACCGGGGGGTTGATGTTGCTCTACGCTGTGCTTCCCAATGAGGTAATTTACGCAAGATTGATCAACTTTGGCAAGTTGGGATAACATTATTATACACCAGCGTTTCATCAGAATTTTAATGGCGTTTCAGCAGAGCTACGTTTCTAGGAATGGTTGCAGAAAACTGTGGCATGGGTTAGTTATTGTTTTCTCAGCGACTGTTATTGTAAATTACCGCGGTTATTGCACCATCCCGCAAAGGGTCAATAACATGAGTAATATATTTTGATAAGTCAATAGTGGCTGTTCTATAGAATATATTGAGCCCACCGCAGTATTGTGCAATTTCCACCACTGACTTAGGGAATGCAAATCAAAATAAGCACTGCCTTACAAGAGTGTATGGATGAAGACATTACCCTTGTTAAATAGTTTAAATAATTTAGTACTGGGAAAAAAAACATATTTTGTACGTTTTAATACATTTTGCCAATGCAATCAGATATTTAAAAAAAAATGCCAATGAAATGTTTACCGGTAGATGTCATGGCTGCGAAGTTGCTGACGATGTTATTCCTGGACATCAGCTCCCACTGGTAAGATACGGTGTCATCATTGCAGTTTACGCACTCAACTGACAGGACAAGTGGCTCCGTAGTGGTCACAGTTTGAATGCAAATATATTCACAACTGGAAAGACAACATTTTAAAAATAAATAAACAATTGTGATTGGACAATATCAGTCAAACAAAGATGCGTGCTTATCTAGTAATAGCAGCTGCATAAATATTGGGACAGGGGACACCTTGAAATAATGCTCAGTTGATGGTCAACTCTCTAAAGGTCAACAAATTAAGTACTCGTGTGGGACATCAGCAGTGCTTCTACTTTGGAGTGTCTAACTCGACCACATGAATATGGAATTTCCAACAATAGCTTTAGCCACAAATTCACAGGAGCACCACACACCGTCATTTAGACATGAAGTGACTGTGACCTTTCAATCTCATTATCTTTACATAAATCCTAAGTACAGTATTGTATTCATAATTTGTAGGTAAAAAAACGATCGACTAAAGGAATACACATTACACATGTAATAAATAAACAGACTATGCCTCCTTCACATATATATTTTAAAAAATGTACCTAAATATGCTGTTGGGGCAAAGTGATTCTTGTGAGCACTTTTAAAGGCCAACAGAGCACACGAGTGAGGCATGTGGCCAGAATGACTTTGCCTCACGAGTGTTGCAATAACTGTCGATTGCCAACTTATTGAGAGCTCATACCAGATCAGATAACAAATACCCATTTGTTAGGAGTTTACCCAGTCTTACAGATCATAATATTGGGCACTAATCACTGTGTGCACCCAACAAAGACAAAGATTCCCCGTATAACGTTAAAATACCGTTAGGGCAAGTGCCGTTAGGGAGCACATATGAAAGCCAGCACAGCACATGAGGGGGTGGGTGGCCAGCACCATGCCCGACCGCCTTTATCCCCAGTGGCGATATTTTTACACACCACACCAGGTACTCATTTGAGGCTGAGTCGATTCAGATAATCGTCACTGGTGCTGGTGGCCGTGAGTGGGAATTGACCTTGGGCTGCTTGGCTTGTAGCGTGGTGTGCAAACCGCTGTGCCACTGCTCCCCTCCACACACACAACGTATACACACACAAACCAGCGACGTGGCTTTTGAGTGTGCAGGTGGTGCTACTGCACCAGGGCCAATAGCCGGAGGGGCCCAAGGTCCGGGCTACGAAAAGAGGGGGCGGAATTGAACGGGGGATTCCCATTTCATTATTTGCACCATAGCCCACGCTACGAACGCCACGACGCCACTGATACAGGTGCACAGTGGAACATAACACAATGCGTTATGTACCTTATGTATATGTCCAGAGGATTTCCTTCTATCACGTGAATAACTTGTGTTTTATTTGCAACACGAATATCTTTAGTTGCCGTCACCTCAACTTGTAGGACAGAATTTGTTTGCAGTTCAGCCTGAGGGATGGATATGATGCCAGAGCCCAAGACAACATACGTGCAGAGTGTCAATTTGTTATCATAAGATACTTTGGTGCATCGCCAATTAAATGCAATCCCGCTGTTGCTCTGGCTGGGATCGTCTGGATCATAAGACAGAGATGCATCGACCTGCACATCAGCTCCATTGCCAACAGTCCTGGTGTCTCCACCAGTGATCTGCACTTGTAAGGAAGTCGCATTGACGATGAGGGTCATATTGTCCACCAAATTTTGCAAGCCGAGTGGTTGGAGATTGACGGTGACCTGTATTAAGAACGTGCCTTGGGTGAAATAGAAGGGATTGAAATGTTGCAAGCTATTATTGTTTCCATTTACTGCTCTTATGTTCCCATTTTGCTGGTTTGTGATGGACCAGATGTACTGAATATTTTCATATTTGAGCAAGCAAGACATGTTCAAAGTTGCCATCACATCCAATTGTTCGGGCACTTTTAAAAACTGCGTCTTGGGTTTATTTGCCGTTTCACCTCCAATTATCAACGTATAAGGTATACAGCCATAACTGTTTAAGTACAGAGTCGTGTTGTAACTGCTGCGGGAAAATCCTGTGATTTCTTGGAGTTGGATTGAATACTTTCCAAAGGATGAATAGGTATATGAGAAGGTCAAAGTTTCTGACGCGTATTCGTTTACCGTGGCCACGTTTGGCCACAAACGTTTACAGAACTCGGCACCATAGGCAACTGTGTGACCATCTCCAAGGTCCCAGAGGTAGCAAGCAAATCCCATGTAGACGTTTTCCGCCATCAGAGTCACAATCATGTTCGTGTTGCTTGCCACGCATGTCATTTTAGTGGCGTTGGCTCTGGAGGTGCGTGAAAGAACCTCCACGCGCAGGGCTATGTCACTCTGCCAGTTTGTGGGCTTTATCCGTATTCCCGTGCACTGCAAGGGATTTGTAAACAGTATGGTCTTTGGATCCTGATAGTTATCGATGCCAGTAAAATACTGAAACAACAAAAGTAAACATTGGGTCAGCTCATGTAGTTATTTCCATAATATTGAAGATAAATGAACATAGCATCACACACCAATACAAAAAAACAAGTGTTGCAAAATCACATCAATGTATTCCCCTCGACTAAATGATAAGATGCACTCTATTAAGAGGAAATTTGAATTCATAACCAGGTGAGGCCCCCACAAGTGTTAAATGCAAGACCTCCTTTACCAGGGGGGGTTCTGGCTACTTACACAAGGAAGCTCATTGCAAATTATTTGTTATTTATAAATGTATGTCAACAGATTGGTTTGGGATATAACTGGGACAATGAGACAAAGTACCTTATTCATGTAGCTATTTCTGGGAATCGTATCACCACCTTTCTGGTGGAAAGACAGCAGTTTATATGTGGGGGGGACTGCCCCATTCCACATTTGCGATTTACGTGAAGCTGATTCCATGTAAAATTCCACATATTACATACACAACTCGTGCCACAATTGCAACATGGCCTCAAATTGGTGGGTTTTGGGTGGAGCTAATAATGACAGAAAGTTTCTGGAAATACGTGGAAAATTTTCCAACATCTTGTGGAATCACGTCAACCAAGCTCTGGGGGCATGGCCTGTGCCAGGAGTAGAAAGAGAGAAAGCATGGGTGTCCATTCTGCACAGAGTCACGCGTGTGGTACCTCCATTCCACAACATTTATTTTGCATTTCTATTTAAACTGTCAAATGAGTTTTAAGTGTTCTAATCCTTGCAGAACATAAGAAGAACTGCGGTACACAGGCACGTGAAGATGCCAGTGATGATGAAGACAAAGACAATGAACACGATGATGATATTCTTGATGAATGTCGTAATTCTACGGATGATAACAACAGGTTTCACTAGCAAAAATTGTCTGATGGTACATTATTACATTAGGCAGTTTTGAGGATTAAATATTGGATGGAACTTTTCTTTTTTCCAAAAGGACAAAATGGTTGGGGTCCTTAAATAATGCAAACCAGATAGAGTTAAATAAGGTGAGTTCAGACCAGCAGAGGGTTGGCCATGCTTAATGCTATTGTGTGCAGTGTCTTATTAAATACTTACTATGGTATTTGTGTCCTTCCAAGCGGAGGTTCCTGGGTCCATAATGGCTATGTTGATGGCAGTAACCCAACCAGGAGTTAACTTATTGAGTGAGGCCACCTGCGGTACTGCCCCTTGCAAGATCAGTCCTGTCACAGAAAGCCTGGCCTCAAACAATATCTGCAGGTACTCATTGGCGTTGAGAGTTTGTGGTCTCCAGTATCCCAGTGTGCTATTCAAGCGGGCTTTTTGCGCTGTAAATGTGGAACCGGATGTGGATGAGGCAGTGATAAGACTGTCTGGTATAACACCAGATTCCAATCCGATAGGCCTTGTGTCGTCTGAAAGGCATTTCAATCCAAGTTATCTTAAACGTTTAAGTAATTCAGATTTCATATCATACTCATTTCATACCATACAGATTTCTATATATGTCCTGCTCATTAATGATGATTACAAGTACTGTCAATATAACTTTTGAGGACTCACAATTAAGAACAAACTGATCAGCAGTAAGACCTTCAATGCAATTAATGTGTGCAGCACAGCATTTTTAAGAAGGCCAATCAATCATTGTTATCTATTTGATATCATTTACAGAGTTCAAAAAAGTTAAACAAGCAACAACAGCAACCTATCATACCTGTCAACCCATACAATTTAGCCGTATTCTTATACAGAGAAATTGAGTGTTCAGGTCCATACGGCGTACAGCCATTTCAATAGGGCAGAAAAAAATGTTTGTCATTATGTTTGTGTTTCTCCCTTGTGATGGGACTTTGTAGGATGAATGTTGAGAATTATAAGGGCACTGGATGACCAATAAGGTCTGAATTGGTCTGTAATAAGGTAAGAACTGATAAGGGGTTCACAGGTATGATCTCTTCATCCTTACATTTATAGTCTATGTCCTTATTCTACACCTTACTAAATTGTATAGTCAACTAGCTTTACTACCTGGCTTCGCCCGGGAATTGGATTCTTATTTTGTATTAATTTCATATTCCCTTATATTTCACTGAAAAAGCCTGAAAAAAATGTATGCTTGCAAGAAACAAAAAAGCCGAAACAAATAAATTTTACTAATTCAGTCATCACAAATTATTTATTCATAGTGTGATTATTTCAACACTTGGCCATACACAACATTTTTGGTTTCTGTTTCTTCATCGATGACAATGTATAATTTTGTTGGATCCTTTGCTCTTGACATTCCAACATACAGCTGTCCATGTGAGAAGCATTCATCTGTCAAATCCAAGCCCGTAACTTTAAGTGACTGTCCCTGCGATTTTTTAGTGGTGATTGAAAATGCAAGCCAAACTGGAAATTGTAATCGTTTGAATGAAAATGACAAATCAGTTGTATTCAATGGAATCCTTGGAATGAAGACGTGCTCGCCTTCAAATGGACCAGTTAGAATCGATGCCTCAATGAAATGAGCATTTAATGCCTTCACCATCAGTCTTTATCCGTTACACAGTTTTGGTGGGTCCAAATTTCTTAACAGCATGATGGGAGATCCAAGTTTGAGCACTAATTTGTGTGGCAGAATTCCGTTGGATTCAAAGAATTCAGAAATTCTACCGGTTAGCTTGTCGTTCGTTTAATGAATGGATTTGTTGATTTCAACTTTGACGTTTAGTGGTGGCAGGATTGCACGTTCCTTAAGCCATTTGCGATTCAGAAGATTTGCTCTGATGTTCGGATACACGCAATTGATGAGACTCTTCAGAGTAAGAAAAATTTAGCAGAATTCTTCGGACAGCTGGATTTTTCCAGTTTCACTTGTTGCTTCCTTGCCGTTGCCAATTTTGAGCAAATACTCATACAAATTATTGGAGTCATAGCTATCAGATTGTTGAACTCTAATGTTGGTTGTGAGCTTCATTGTTGTGACGTTTCTCCAAGCTAAGATGATTTTAGGCAGGCTTTGATCTCATCAACTATCGTGGAATCAATGGTAATGTTTGGACGAAAACCACCAGCAAAGACAACAATCAAACCGCCCATAAGATATATGTTGCCACGAATGTCTTGCAGTGTTCTGTTGACTGCCTCAAATCCGTGCTTATGCATCATCGAGATTTCATCCCAGAATAACGCTTTAGCTTCCAGCAGTACTTTTGTCTTTCCACTTCCTTTCTTGATGTTGCAAACGGGCGCTTCATTATGGACCAAGTCAATCGTGATTTGAAGCGTTGAATGCGCTGTTCGTCCACCAGTCATCAACGTTGCCGCGATGCCAGAAGATGCAACAGCAAGTGCAATCTTCTTCTCCTCTGATGCGGGCCAGCAACAAATTGATCAAAAAAGTATTTCCAGTTCCTCCAGGAGCGTCGATGAAAATTACTCCGCCTTCGTTGCTATAATGTCGTCGTAGAACCTCCTGATACATTGTTTGTTGCTCTGCATTCGTTCTGCGTGACGTAATCCAGAATTTTGTCAGAGCCATATGACAACTCTCGAAGCATTTCTCGAGTCATGTTCACTGCTTGCTGTCGTGAAGGACTTTTAATGCCGATCTCCGACAAAGACTTTCCAATCATCTCCAAAACTTTATCTTCAATCGTGATAAGTCCCTCAATATAGATGTCATCAGTGAATTCCAAAGTCATTTGAGGATTATCTCGTCGAAGTCTATTCAAAATTTCTTCAGACCAGCAGTCTTTGTGGCTCTCCCAAAGCGCTTTAGGATTTGATGGTTCACAAAACAACAGGATGACTGTGAAGAGAGGTCTGATTTTTGATGGTGAATCCAATTCCTTCGCTTCCTTGAATGTCTCGTGCCATTGATTGTCGTTCTCTAGGAGTCGCAATGCCAGGCAAGCTGCATGATAAGTGTCGTGTTCAACTCCATCGACTGTTCGGAGATCCTTGAAGCAAGTTGGGCCTTTCACTTTGTGCAACAACATTCTCAAGTAGTAGCAATCAAAGTTTATCATGTGGACTGTGTAAACACGGCCAAGAGCGTCACCTGATCGAATGCCGACATGTCCTTCAACAATCGCACCTTGTTTGTGTCGACTGAAGACTTTCTTTGGCTTGTCCCATGTGTAATACTTCGGAACTTCGCAATAGAGGAGTGTTTTGCAAAATCGTCTGTTTTGCATAGCTCGAAGTATCCTGTCAATGTTGTGTTTGGTCGATTGGCCAGAAGATTTTGCAAATTGCCTTGGCTAAAATAGATGCGCTGGCCGTTTTCGAGGTGAACATGAAGATGCACGACTATTGGGTATCGTTCGTGGATCAGAAATCCGAAAATGCGCCACGCCGCTTCATTACTGGAGATGTAGCGGCCTGCTTGGTCCTCCGAGATCTCATCAATTTCGGAATTGTTACGTGTTTTAGTAAAAACACAGACAGACACACAAGCAGAGAGAGACAACACAGAGACACACAGAGAGAGACACACAACATAGACACACACTGTGTGTCTCTGTGTGTGTCTCTCTGCTTGTGTGTCTGTCTGTGTGTCTCCGTGTCTGTGTTTTGTCTCTCTCTCAAATTTAGCAATCTTTGAAAGAACGTAATCAACCAGCTGAGGTGCTGACTGTTGTGTTGGCCGACTCTATTTGTTGTATTGCATTGTATTTCTAAGTTCACTAGGTTTGATTTCTACCTGTTGAAGGTTGCTTGTGTTACGATCGAAACGTTGTATTTTGTATTATTTAATTTATTTTCTTTCTACGTGACTTTACCGAAAGAACCAAAGAGTAATTCCTGCAGTCACGAAAGCTTCAAATCAAGTTTAAATTGTAAATATTTCACTAATGAAACATGCGATGAGGAAACACAACATTATACAACTTTTACAATGATAAGAATCTCTGACTGAACAAAATTCTTAAGAATGAACGTCACGAGATTTTTTAATTTCTAAATCGGATGTTTTTCACTCAAGGAAATTCAACCTGAACCCACTTATACGTAAGGTCGATTTTGGCAACTCGGGAAGGGAATGACGTAGCGAACAGAAAATAGTCGCGTTGACTTAGAAATTCCAGACAGCGTAAGCTGTGCAAATTTCATGACACCAGAGCTCAGCGTTCAAGAGTTTTTGCTGCTTCACACAAACAGATGTATTTTCTGCTTCATAATAAAGATGGGGATCACACACTCAGGATGACCTCCTCACATTTAAGCACTTTAATTATGAATTGACATGAATAGCAAGGTAATTGAAAAACCTTGCATTGCCACAGACGAGTAAACAGTGTCCATAATGGTAACAGTAAAGTATTATCCAGCATACCTGTATTTAAAATAACACTTACCATCTTCCAAAAGAAGTGTAATTATAGTATAATTAGCATATAAGCCTCTTTGCGTTGGATGATTGCCACCCGTAAATCTGATAATTAAAGTGTTTTGATATGATCGATATGAATATACTTGCAAAATCCCTAATTGAGGATTTGTATTCGTTTCATAAATGTAGATGTTATCACTTTGCGCATTCAATCTGTGGGTACAAATCATATGATTAGAAATCGTAGCACTGTATACAAGGCATATGCACACAAATTAGCAGGGGCGTCATATGGCATGCATTGTAACTTCTAATCCAGCTAACTACTGTCAAGTTTCCTTCCATGTTTTGCCCAGTGAAGGCTCCTCACATTGTGGAGTGTTGAATGTGCATCACGGGTTTTTTGTTTCTCTATTCGTTTTGGCAGTCTTCATTCAAGGACAGAGCCACAACGACGCCAAGTACGAGGTCAATCAAGGCCTGAAGCCAAAGCGCCAAGCCCAGACAAAGGTCAAGTGCCAAGGCCCACCGTGGCGTGTGGCGTCGTGAGATCGCATCGCTGCCTTGGTCGACAAGGCTTATCAAATTCAGGTTTTGGACAATAATTTGATAAATTTGGTTGGTAATCTCTAGGCGATTTTTCTGATGGTAACATAACGTCATTCTAAATGTGTTATGTATGCTGGATCATCTTTACAAGAGTTATCGTGACCCCCCTCACCCATGTCACGCTACAGACAGAGCTAATGCATTAAACATGAGTTTCACGCCACCAGTTTTAAACACCCCAAGTCTAGAAGGCGTTAGACCTTGGACGCCCGCGGCTACACGTCTGGGGCCAAGGTCGAAAGCGAAGCCTGAAATAAATCGGAGCAGGCGATATTTATCTCGAGCCATCTTGCACAGCTCTCTTGTTTAATTTAGATTTAATATTTTTCACTAATTAAAGTGAATCGCAATGTTATTAAACTAATCTACGAATGCAGAGCAACTATTTCTTCTGATTCAGGAACTACTTACAATTGGAGCGATATGTCTGACGGTGACATGACCCTCCAGTTATATCACACGGTTGTGTTCGATGTCCCATTACCGCAGATGGTTGAACCAGAAAATTGCATCGTTCTGTTACTCCTGACGCAATCGTCTGGCTCAACCACGTCAATGTAAAGTCACAGTTATTGCTCTATCTCAACGTCAGCCATGCGAGGAAAATTAAGGAGACAACTTAAAATGCATACAGTTCCCGTAACTGTTCAGATGAGTGAGATATTTGTAACTTTTCCTTTCTGCTGATAATGTCTCTGGCCTGGAATGTAATTAAGTGAAACACATGTGACTGGGATACACTAAACTGAGCCTGATCACTTAACGCACTGACAATACTAGAATCGACCTGTAATAAGGATTATATTGTTTGAGTCTCTCAGCCTCTGTGTATTCCAGACTAATATTTGTATTATATTTTGTGTGGATAAGACGGAAGATTGTTTTTTTTTTTATTCCAATGCCATCAACAGAGCAAAATAAATGCTGTATCGTGCTATTTTGGCTGTGCTGATGGACCCATAGTTTATATGGATGGCTTCAGTCTCTCATATCTGATAACATAACACGATTTTTTTCACAAGTCTAACTCTGCTGATGAGAACTCAGAAGATTGACACTGCTTGCCTAAACAGATGCTGTCATGAAACAACAAGGCCAAAACAAAATATATTGCTCCATTGTGATGGATTTCTTATCATTTACAGGTTTGAACATGTATTAAGAAAACACCGTACTCATTAGTTCCATCCATTGCCCAGATATAATGTTTAACATGTTTTAACAAAGCATTATTATGACGTAAGAAATACGTAACAATCAGTTGATGCCAAATTAAACAAAAGAGGTGTCCCACGTGTGCATAGAGAACAGAGCGAATGTTACTTACTCCACATCTAAAACGTTCACTGTGACTATGGACATAGAAGGGCCTGAAATAGTCCAAGTACGGTCATAGTGCTTGGGGTATGGGCTCGGGTAGTTGTCACTGGTGATAAATCCCTCCAAAGTAGTGGTGGAAACTCCACTGGATGATTTCCCCTGTACTTTTGGGCACATTATCTCTGAAATAGAATCAATCGCGTTACCAAAAGTAATACAAATCCATTCGAGCGATTAAAAATGCAGGGCAATTATTTCACATCAAACAAAACGGTTTTTGATAATTGACCATTTTGTCTGCTGAACGTGAACAACAATAGATGGACTTTAATGGTTTGTATCTTATGCCTACGTTATATGCCGTTGTATATGTAACTTAAATTAACATATAGTACATGAATGACACTCAGCATTATCTTTGTAACACTATCGTTGCATCCAAATTAAATAACAATGTATGAAAATTTAAGTGGGACTTTACCATATGTTAAGATAATAATGATCATTTTGACAAGCACACATGGTTGTTCCATCTTCATTATTGTTCAGTCGTGATTCTGATATACGGAGAGAAAAAAAATCTGACTTAATGAATGCAAAAAACACAAGATATTTCATAGACATCAATACACAACATTCGCTAATTATGCATATATTGTATGAAAGCTAAATTACAGTGCAACTGAACATATATTTGTGGTGTAATGTAAAATAATTATTAACATGGATTCTTTATGCATCGAATTGCACGTTCGAGAATTGACAGTTTCGTATGTGTGTTTCTGGTGTTAGTAATGTTGATTTTATATATAGGTTTTACCGACCAATATCATGATTCATATTTAGGTTATTTTCGTTTAGATCCTTGTTTAGCTACAATGACAAATTATATCCATAGCCCTCCACCACCCAACATAGTCAACCAAATCAAATTGTCACGTAGGCAAATACGTCAATTTGTTTTGGTTTATCTGCAAAACCGTAATGTGGCCACCTGACAAACTTGATTTGATTGTATCTGTCGGTTGTGGAGGGTTATATTTGTAACGTGTTCACGTGACCACTGCAGCTGCTGGTGGCCAGAGAAGTCATTTTAAATATATTATTTAAAATAAACATTTATAGGTTCAATGAAACACAAACTTAATGTAGTATTTCCTTGCTTTAAAATGTATTTAAATATTGGTTGGTATCTTATTTGTTGGTTAAAATAACTCATTTGGATACGTAAATATATTTTCTTAAATATAAAGAGACACTTAATGTATTAGTTATTGAGCAAAGAATTGGCTATGTGTAGACCACAATATCGTTTTAATGGGTTCATTTTAATTATTCGTAAAATAATTAAATTACATTTTAATATACCAACATAAAGCCATCTTATTACACAAAAAATATTGTTCTTGTAAATATGGAATCTCATCTTCAGTCAGCACAGTGCAAAATGCTGTCCTAAACTGTCACGATTTTATTATTTTTGTATCAGTTTCATAATTCAATTGTGAATTATAATATTGGTCATGAAAGCATGCATGTTAAACTTTTTCCGAGTTAAGAAAGTATTATTGCCTGAAAACATTGCATTCATTAAAATAATTTCCAGATGTGCACGTGATTTTATTTTAAAACTACAGTATAACACTTATACACTTTCTCCATAAGAAACCCAACAAATGTGTTTGTAGTTCACATATTCAACACACTGGATATATCTCCGAATAGTGCAGTTGCCTACGTACGGTGCGAGGTAAGTTCAACATACATATACATATGTCTACTTGCCTCTAGTGATGTACTCCTTACGCCAGTCTTCTGTCTTAGCAGCAATTCAGTAAGGTGTGCGTATTTATAGAGCCCATCATCCTATTTGCGGAGAAAACAATCTGTATACGGAGTGTCAAATTACACCTGAGTACCAAATAGTGTGCTTCTTTACAAACCTTAGATTAACCTTATACCCAGTGGGTTGGGCACACACAGAAGCATCGTGCCCTGCAGTTTTGAAAGATATTATCACTTCCATGTAGCTTCTTTAGACAGCAGGAACAAGGCAATGTATTTGGACGTCAGTACCACAATGTCTAGCTAATAATGTATTTCTTTGTCATCTCAGCCTGTGATTGGGATACATTTTAGGTGTAATGATGCAACAGCCCTGAGTTAGGCGAGAAATTCCAATTGTGGGCTTAATTTAATTCAGACGCAATATCAACCAAGAGTGGAGTTTATGTTTCAATTTGCTGGATATATTTTATGGTCTTGGCAATTACTGTTAACACATAGGTGATTGTATTTTGTGCGATGTGAATATGTATTGTAAAATTTGTAAACACATTTTCTTTATTAGAGAATGCATTCAAGTTGCCACTCAGGTAATAAATCAGCATGCGCAGCCGATTCTCCCTGACACACGCGCGGCCTTCCTGCTTGGTGAAGAATGGAACTCCACGCATTCCCTGTGGAAAATTGGGCACCAAACCATTATATGATGATGATTAATTTTTCATTTTTGGGTGAGGCCACATAATGATCTGACCAAATCTGTGCCATTAGGGACATACATCTTGAAGATATTTCACATCACAGCAACGATTTTGGGGGCTGAGGCATTCCGACTGCATCTTAAGAGTCATAATCGTACCTTCATACGGCTCTATAAGCCTCTGGCATTGACATTGAATGCTAGCAATCCAACAGGAACTTTTGTCAGCTTTATTCAACATGCTCCTTGAAATTGTAAGAGTAATAGACCGCAATGCAAGACTCTCCGGAAAAAAATAACTCTTGAAAGTCATACTCTTTGGTTCTTCCGGTAAAGTCACGTAGGTAGAAAAATCAATAATAAATCACGACGTTTCGATCGCAATACAAGCATTCGTCATCAGGTGGAACGATACAGCAGTAGAACTGCTAAACAAGAAAGGGCTGCTGCAACACGAGGTTATATATAGGTTTGAGGTGGGTGTCACCCAAGGGTAAGTCGGCGGGGTCAGAGATGGAAAGGAGTTCCGTCGCCGCACGCACGCACAGCAGCTGCATTAAAGGGAGAGAGATTGGCATGTTAATGTAAACGAGTATTATGGGAAATGAGCCCCGTTGCTGCACGCACGCACAATAGTCAGTGAGACTTTCCCAGGTTGATAAATGGTTTATTACTATTATCATTATGATGATGGCTGAGCATTCTATTGTGACTTGGTGCACACTCAGCTGCTACGCATGTCAATTACTCATTTATGTATGCAGTATAATGCAAATGTGAAATGAATAAATACTCTATAATGTCTGCGGTGTTTTGACGTCACAATGCCCCCTACTTCACTGACTCTTTGCGACAAACAAAAATAATATATTCTAACCATGTGCTTCATGTCTATGTGTTTTTTGTACCGTAAAAAGTCCCGTTACAAATGATATGGCTGCGATTAAGTCTCATTGTTATAACTAAGCCAAGTCCACTGAACATTTTTTTCATTAAAATTTGAATGCAAACATGTGTTTCTAGCAAATAGTATTGACTGGCTTTGCCGGGACATAATTATTGTTCATGTTACAGAGGATATAGTTTCACTTTACACATAGCTCGTAGTACTAATACCTGTGTCAGAGACACTAAGCTGTTTGTGATTAAATTCAGTTCTCCTGTGTAGCTGGTCGATTGTCTGACCCTTCATCTTTGGAGAAACAAGTATAACATTTGTATTTAAGAGGTATCCATGTGGTTCTAGGAGATAAAGTCAGTAGACATTTAACGGGTAACATTTAACAAGTGTCTTTTATTTGTGTGGCTTAGTGTCAGACGATGACGATTAAAAAACACTTTCCAATGTATTATTGTTGTAGATGTTGTACACCTGTAAATTACTTTATACAAATAAGTGCCAATAATATTTACCTGTATTCTTCTTTTATCGTGGGGTATATTGCAGAGATAAGCAACTGATTGGTCAGACACTCTTTGGTTCTATTCGGTGAAGTCACGTAGGTAAAAAATAAAACAACAAAAATCACGACGTTTCGGCCACAACACAAGCGGCCTTCATCAGGTGAAGGGATCAGGCTGCCTCGAGGACAGCGCTGGAGTGAAACACAGCCACGCTCAGACCGCGGACCTTTAAGCTGTGTGCGAGGAAACAAGGTGCCTTGACAAAGGAATTAGCATAAAAATTAGCATTTGATTGGCCGACTTAGCATAGAGGTGGTGTACGTGCGGGTGGACTTGCCGTTTGGCGCGGGGGGGGGGGGGGGGGAGTTTACCTATTAATGGTGTGAAAAGGGAATTTTTAAGAGCTGCGAAAGTTTGGGGTACCACTACTTGAAAAATATACTGTACCATTGAAAATTAGTTTAATGTTTAGTTCGATTTAGAACATCTTTCCAATGGTTGCTTAATTTGAAACCATCTTCTCAGTTGAAATTGTGTCTGTGTTGTAGATCTGAATTGCCTCGTGAACAAATCTCTGATAAAAACCCGTGGGTTTGCAAAGAACCTTGGTATCGGAGAAATTTATATCGTGATCACCCACAGCATTGTAACAGTGATCAGCCACGGCAGAAGAATTCGTTTTGCCGTGTTTCAAATCTGATTTGTGCTCGCGAATTCGGTCAGAGACATGTCGCTTTGTCTCCCCGATATAGCAATCACCGCAGGTACAACTCAATTTGTAAACCCCGGGGTACTGTAAGTCAGGAATGACATCCTTCACGGATGGGATCAGATCACGAATTCTGTGTACTGTATTGAACCAGACCTGGATCTTGTGTTTGTTTAGAATTTTGGAAATCTTTTTAGTAACGCCTGCTATATATGGTAGTGTGATGGTTTTGACCGGAGTATCAAGTGGTTGTTTCTGTATGGAGGGAGAAACAGCTTGGCGGATGGTACGGTCAGAGTATCCATTCCTTTTGAGGGCCAGGTGTACATGTTTTAATTCACTGGTCAGGTGGCGTTGGTCGGAAATGCAATGAGCCCTATGGTATAAAGTTTGATGAGAGAATTATTTTGGGCTGGGTGGTGGTGGGAATCAGGTTTCAAGTAGGAATCTGTGTGGGTGGGTTTCCTGTAGACAGAATGCCCCAATGAGCCATCAGGTCTCCTCTCAAACAGAACATCTAAGAATGGTAGCTTGCCATCTTTCTCCACTTCCATGGTGAATTTGATGGCGGGATGTCTGGAATTGATGTGGTGTTAGAAAAGGTTCAGAGCTGGGAGGCCATGTGGCCAAATGACGAAAGTGTCATCCACATATCTCTTCCACAGGGAAGGTCTGAGGGTGGAAGTCTGGATGGCGTCTGATTCAAATTTCTCCATGAAAATATTGGCTATCACTGGTGACAAGGGGGATCCCATGGGGGTACCCTCATTTTGTTTGTAGAAGGAGCCATTCCAAGTAAAGTAGGTATTGTTGAGGCAGTGCATAACCAGTGCAGGTGTGTCGGGGTCTAGTCCATGTTGGACCAAATTTTCAATTATTTCAATGGTATCAGGTACTGGGACCTTGGTGAACAAAGAGACCACATCGAAGCTGACAAGGATATCGTCAGGGGACAGTACAACGTCTTTGACCAGAGAGACCAATTGGGCTGAGTTAAGTACTACTGAGGCGGTCTTGCCAGTGAAAGGCAGCAAGGTATCTGACAGAAAACGGGCTAGTCTATAGGTAGGGGAGTTGATCGTGGATACGATGGGTCGTAGTGAGGTGCCTTCTTTATGAATCTTGGGAAGACCATAGAATCTAGGGGGGCTTGCAGCAGAAGGTTTTAGGGAGGGACGTTTAGTTGGGTCGATTAGGGAGGTCGAACTTGTGATGATCTTGTTGGTTTTTATCGCTAGGCTATTGGTAGGGTCATTTTTAATTTTTGAGTAACTTCCATCCTTGAGCAGATTCTGGATTTTGTTATTGTATGAATCTTGATCCATAATTAAAGTAGCGTTGCCTTTATCGGCTGAGAGGATGACTATATCACTTCTGTTTTTTTTAATTCGCGAGTTCAGAGCGTTCATTTTTGCTGATGTTACTAATGGGTTTTTTAGAATTATTCTCCGAATTCTAAACAGATTCTGTTTAAGGCCAGCCTATCTTTAATCTCAGAGAGGATAAGGCTACTCCGATTTGAACTCGATACTTTAGACAGGACTCTCCTACAAGCTCATTTAATGTTAACACAAAAAATGTCACCTTCTGAT